AATGTGATCAATTAAGCAATAGATAAAGTATAATTGCAGAGCACAAATATGCATGCAGCTGTGGCCTGGAGCTGCATTATGTGTGTTTATTATACATAACCTCTGGTGTTCTCTAAAGTCCATCTGACCTCAGCTTATATGCATGCACACATATATATAAACTGCATCCATTTCTGACTAACACAGCCAACATCTTTTATTGTGCATTTAAATATGTATTATCCCTTCATAAGATTGAAAAAAAAATTGTGTGAATCGTCACACCAAGTTAGAAAATATCCAACTTTAGCGTCAGTGATGTCAGCCAAACAATAATTGCAGCCTTGCTATCAGGTTCAGGCGAAGGACGGTGGAAGAACGAAACATTTCTTTAAGGTTTCACTGTTTTTTTTTACTCACAAACAAATACACACAAAAAAACACATTAGCTATAATAACAGTTGATCAATATTTCTAACTCACCCCATAGTGAGTTCGGCCAGACACCAACAAATCAGTGCTTTTGCTGGTAAACCACAGTTTACAAATATGAATATGTATAATTTCCCTTCACCGTGGCTGAGAGCCAGTAACGAGGCTGATAGCTGCTCACAGACAACGCAGTAAAATTTGATTTGTCTGCAGGCCGGGGAGGAGACGAGGGTCTGTGTTTGTAGGGTGATGTGCCCCCACCTTCCTTTGCGCATCATTAGCACTAGTGATGACTGCAGGGTCAGCAGGAGTCACCAGGTCACGCCACTTCAGGAGCCAACCTTCTCGTTTATTTTTCACTACATTCAAGAGAAATGAGAACTAAACAGCTAATATATTCATATATAATTTAAGGCAAAAATAAAATATTTACTCACTGCTTCGAAAACCCAAAAGGAATTTGTTGGTATTTTTTTCCACTCTGCACAGGCACCACTATAAACGCTGAGGTCCATCTGTAGGACACAGCGGTTAAATCCACATCACAGTTCAAGCCGTCTGAAGACCTGGAGACGCCGCTGGTGGCACGGCTTCAAACAAGCAACATTCGGATTCATGATTACGATTACTGTGGAATTAAAAACAATAGACAATAATGTTATTAGTAGCATATCTAGAGAACATTTGTAAATAATAGTAACAGCATCAATTTTCTCAGTCACTTCAATGTCACTGCAAGGCGCTTAACTATATTTTGTAAGATAAAGACCCCGCAATTATACAGAGAAGACAAACACAATTAAAAAAAAAAAAACCTATGTGCAAGCATCTAGCAACAGTGGGAAGGAAAAACTTCCTTTTAACAGGAAGAAACCTCCGGCAGAACCAAGCTCAGGGAGGGGCGGGGCCATCTGCTGGTTGGGAGGGAGGGAGACGGGAAAAGACGGGCTGTGGAAGAGCGCCAGAGATTAATAATAACTAATTATGCAGAAAGGTGTATAAACACACAGTGAGTGAAGAAGCAACAACCAGGGCATCATGGGAACTCCCCAGCAGCAATGACCTAAGTCGGTGTAACTAAGGGAGGGTTCAGGGTGACCCGATCCAGACCTGACTATACGCTTTATGAAAAAGGAAAGTTTTAAACCTAATCTTGAAAGTAGAGGAGGTGTCTTCCAAATCCAAACTGGAAGCTGGTTCCACAGAAGAGATGCCTGAAAGCTGAAGGCTCTGCCTCCAGTTCTCTAGGAACAACAAGTAAGCCCACAGTCTGAGTGCAAAATACTGTTTTGGGTGTGATAATGCACTGAGATGGGGTCTAACAATTAAAGACCCTGTATATGAGGAGAAATTGTAAATGGCCTGTATTTGTATAGCACTATACTAGACCCTAAGGACCCCAAAGCGCTTTACACATCCAGTCATCCACCCATTCACACACTGGTGATGGCAAGCTACGTTGTAGCCACAGCCACCCTGGGGCGCACTGACAGAGGCGAGGCTGCGGGGCTCGAACCGGCAACCTTCCGATTACAAGGCAAACTCCCAACTCTTGAGCCACGATCGAAGGATTTTAAATTGTCCTTCGCCTCCTCCAGAACCACAGTGTGCTCAGCCACACCTCAACGACATCTCAGGAACAGCTGAATAACAAACCACAGTGCCCGAGGCATTGATCTGGCCCTCAAAATCCCCAAATACCAAACTAATCAAGCATCTGTGGGATGTGGAAGAACAGCCTGATCCACGGAGTCTCCATCAGACAATCCACAGGACCCAAAGGATCCGCTGCTAATGTCCTTGTTATAGACGACCGCAGGACGTCCACAGCGGTCCCGTGGAAATTCCCAGATGGGTTTATGGTTGTTCTGTTGGCAAGAGGCAGACCTACACAACATTAAGCATGTGGTTTTAATGTGGCTGATCAGTGGATGTACAGTATGTGCTGCTGTCCGTCACTGAACTTCGTACTTAGTCCTGAAACCCAAGCTGAGAGTGACCTACTGTTGTTCTGTTTGCAGAGCCTTCCAGCCATGTGTGTGTCTTTCCATTTTTGATGTCAGCGCACACCGAACAGTAGACTAAACACACACAGTAGCAAGATAAGCAAATGCTGCACAGCTTTTCAAATACACTATGGATCAGAAGTGTCAGCCGGACTGACGGAACATCCGATGGAAAGAACAGCAAACGGCCCCAGGCTCCTCACGTTCATTTCCATTGTTTCCAAAGTCATGCTTGGAATAGAAGAAGTCGAGAGAAACTGCTGGATTTGTTCTAATTTTGTGTCTAACATTTCGTCGACCTTTCCTTCTCCAAGACTTCACAGACATTACTCGACTGGGCCGCCTCTGTGATCCCAACGTACATGTTTGTTAGGACCTGTTAAATATAGCTGATGTTTGTGTGCTGAAGATCCAAATTTAATTCTAATGACTCTCTTCTATAATTAGTTTTATATGTCATCCAAGCAACTGGCCAAAGCCTCATCGCCCATTTGGAGTCACTCGAACCTGCAATTAAAAAGTGCGGCGATGAGCACAGCTGGGAGGATGAGGCCTTTTTTTACGCATACGGGCGGCTGGGTAATGACAGAGCTGACTGATAACGGCTGACGCTGGAGGAAGATGAGCAAGGCAAGAAAGCTGCGGCAGACCAGAATGTCACTGCAGGGAAATGAGAGGGAAACAAAATAAGGGGTGGGGGGTTCTGACTTTTCAGTTCTTTGTTGTGGAAGAAGAAACCATCTTGTGGGTTGAGCTTCAGGAGGGGGGAAAGTTCAACTAGCAGGGCTTCACCCGTTCTCTGACCTGACCTGACTTAGAGGCCACGGGGGTTGTGTGTCACTGCATAGCGGGAATACGGTGAACTTAAGGTGAGACGGGCAGTCTGTGTGTGTCACAGGCACGCCATTAGAGCATCTCAAGGCACAGAGGAACCATAAAAGAGCACATTCCCAGCTTTACTGTCGTTGTTTTTAGTAGTAGCGCTTTCAGAGCTCTTTTCAGCATCTCTAAGATGGTAAATATTGTCCCTCACGCCTCAGCTGAATGTCATTTTCTCAAGAAACCAGATGTTGTCTTCTCATTTGTCTTTTACACTGCATGGTGCTTCAAACCTGACAAGTCTACAAATCCTGCCGCAGTGGTGTTATTTACACTGTTACTCACTGAATTCAGACTCTGACCGAAAGCACAGCGATGTATATTTATTTGAGGGGAGGAAAGTCGGGATTGGCTTTGTTTGTTTTTGGACTGTTGTCTTAGCGTTAGTTCCACCACCATCAGGGATTCAACGCTGGTTAAGACCTTTGACCTCTCCAAATGGGTGTTTAATCCTGGTCAAAGCTACTGTGGGGCCCTTGTTGTCGTTCTTGCCAATGATGCCCACCTCTGGACGTAAAGGCACACTACCCCAATTTTACACTGAAGGCTGTTTGCAGGAACTGGGGAGCGCAACTTTGAATGTTAACATTTATAAAAACTTGTGTGCCTGCAGAGGGAGCTGTGTGCAGTGTGATAGCTTCTTTAGCTTCAGATTAGCTTTAATTTAGTGTGCCATCTTTCACTCTCATTATTTTAATTTGTATTATTTACTGTTGTCATTTATATTTTTATTAATTTAAATTTTTTTGGTCTTAAATCATTTGCTTGTTTTTGATGACTTTGTTAGTGCAGCACTTTGGTCGTCGTCTGTAGTGTTTAAATGTGCAATATAAATAAATTGACTCCGTTTTTTTGGCTGTTGGTTGGATTAAAGATTACAAGCTTGAAAGAAAAATCAAATCTGGGGATTTTCGGACCTTTAGCTTCTGTTAGAGCAGAATATCTGACCAAACAGTCTGCGGTCAATATACATCGCAGGAGATTTGGCCAAAAGCATATTAGTTTAACTGGCGAATCTACTGGGATACGCTCCAGGACTGGATAACCAGTTAAGAAAATGAATGCGTGGATGGACCATCATCATAAATATTAGCATGAGGTCCAGTTGACTATGACTGGAATTACTGGAGGCGAAGCTTGGCAGATTCAACCATCAGCTACACCCTGCTGTGTTGGCACACCTCTCAGTCAAACCATCCACCCTCCTGATTTTGACCTTGAACAGATCCAGATGGATGAGTTTTTTGCACTAGCCTTGGACTTGTGAGCTTTTTAATGCTGTAAAGTTTGATATTTACATTTTAACTATGGTATTGACTCACTTGGAAGTTGCCAGTTGGAAACTGCATGTCTGCAAGGCCAGATCAACCTCATCAGAATATCCTCAGAAACACAAGCCTTTCTCAGGCTCCATCTTTTTTGGAAATTTTACCAAGCGTGGCATTCATATGCAACCATATGATATGTTTATGCAGGATTAAACTCTGTCTAGTCTCCAACCATTACCCACCACAACAAACTGCTGCAAAGTAGCGATGGAAGCAGATACGGATATGCTGTTGCACTCGAACTTTTAAGTGCAATCCCTTTAAATCTCTGTAGTATTTCTTTTATCGCATATGAGGACACATCCTGAACGTCTGCCTTCATGCTTTTTCTTCGAAATTACAGCAAACAGTAAAAGCATAAAAACACACATTGAGGTTTTTTTTTCCAAAACAATACTTTATAATGTACATGTCAAAGACAACATGTTAGAGCAAAGGTTCCCGAGAAAAATGTACTATTTTTGTAACAATGGTGGAACAAGTCAAAAACATAACTGATAAAAAAAAAAAAGAATATGCATTTTATACATATGTAAACCTAGAACTGTTTGTTTCTGAACCACAGTGGTCAAAGAGATAACTGGCTTATTTACTGGAATGGACAACTGTAACAATGACCTGGCGTCTGGATGGAGCCCTTTGATGAGTTCAGACGTGACAGAAAACACAAATATCTTCTGAAAATCCTCCAAAGTCACATCTCGCCTGGTTTGGGAAAAAAAAAAAAAAAAAGACAGTCCATTCTGGTCTTATAGTTTACAAAGCATCCCACCAAACAATTCATTTTCTACATAAATACAATAAAATCTATTGTCTGTGCTTGATACTATTTCTTTTTGTGACTTATTCAACTTAAGTCTGCCAGGTTTGATGATTCATTCGCTACAGGTGAAAGCACAACATGGAAAGCACCCAAATTCCTCCATATTAGAAACAGAAAGAGAAGCAAAGAGATAAAAATAGTTTGGATACAGTGAAAGTCCTTCAGTGCTTGATCCCTTGTGCTGGTGTGTGGCAGGGGACAGACAGACAGGTAATGCATGCAGACAGACGGATCATGCAGGGAGAAAAGAGGAGGAGCTGCGTGGGGTCAGACCGGGGCATCTACAGAAACAAGACAGCTCTCAGACCTGCGAGGGTTAAAAAAAAAAAAAAAGATTTACCTTATAATAAATGGAAATTACACCAAAATGGAATGCTGCTTTTTTCTTTTTGGTTACTGGACATTGTTTTAAGACTAACAGTGAAGACAGATGGCCAGAGTAGCCAGACAGTGCTAGTTTTGGCAGCGTTTGAGAAACGAAAGCATTAAACAGAAGAAAAGCCATGACTGGCACTGTTGTGCAAAGGTTCTGGGAATGTTCTGGGCTGGGTTACTGAAAGGCATCTCTTCAAGTGTGTTAAAATGAGCTGAGATGTCAGCATATCCCAGCTGAGGTCATATTCAGGATAGCCCGATTATATGCATTTTCATATCCCGACTATGAAAGTACGCAAGTATCACACACACAAAGAAGCTGGCCAACATCTACAAAGGAGAAGAAAACAATGTGTGTCTCACAAAAAGGGAATGTACAGAAAAAGCTAAAAAATGATAATAAAAGATGCCCTGCTGCAACCAGACCAGAGGTTTTGTTTTGGCAGAATTTACTTTATGCACGATTTAATGCAAACTGTATTGGTATAGACATTATCTTTAGAAATTTACTAAAAAAAGATGATGGTGGAAACAATCTACCATATCCATATCTCAACTACAAAAGTTACGGAAAGGATTTGAGACTTAAAGACATTAGTGGTGCATTAGTAAGGAGAGGGAAGATCTCTGCTAGATACATTCAGTTAAAATAAGCAAATTTATTTCTTGTACGTCTGATTGAAATTCCCCCCCAAAAAAGAAAATCAAACGTGTTTTTTCCTGTTTTTTTTTAAGGCATCGATACCTCGGTCCTGCTTGGCTGTTACTGTGATCAAACTGCGATTTTTAGATACAGAAACATAACTTGCATACCAAAGCTGATGAGACTTCAGCTGTGAACTTGAAAAATGTTAATTTAAATTAAAAACTAAGCATACTTGGCCTGATAAGGAAATAAACGTTGATCATACAAAACCATTTGCAAGGCCCGTCGTGGTGATTTAACACAGGGGGGAAAAGCAATGGCTGTGTTCCAATTCTAATCCGCCCTCGCTATTCTTCCTATTCTTTCAAATACGTCAGATGATAATCTTTAACAAAGAGGAACAAAAAAAAAAGACTCAAATTTCCTGAAATACTGAAACTTAACAGATGCCAGGCAAGATATGCGCGCAAGAACATCTGCACGAGAAAGAAAAGGTATGGAATCTGACAAATATGTGCATTAAAATGCAAGGCTGAGCAGAGGGCGACTGCACACCTACTGTAACAGTGTTATGGTACCAATGGGGTAACTAATGAAATAAACAAAACAGACAACAAAAAAGTCATTACTGCTGAGAGACAAAAAACAGCCAGAAAGATGCTGCTCAACACATGATCAACAGCAAAAGGTGCCTTCAGTAACACCCTAAAAAGGGCCAACTGTAACTAAGACCCACGGAAAGTATTGTTTTTCAATACCAACTTCAAAAACAAGATCGTAGCATTTTGTAATGTATAGATATATAATATACTCATTTCTTTTTATATATAAATCTACTATGAACAGACAGTAAATACACAATTGTCCATCATTATACAAAGTAGAAACATTTGAATCCCAACGCTCCCGCAAAAACCCTGAACCCAGAAAACGTACTCATGTAACGTCCACTAAAAACAGAGTCTGAACCCTCACCTGCTGTGAAGTATGTCAGCTTTACAACATAACAGAGAAACAGAGAGTGGACAACACGCACAAAACAACAGGAAAATTGTACAAAAATAAGTCACTAGAGCTCAAAAGCAGAAAAAAGCGAAAGAGAGGAAAACAAACCACAAAAATAGTGAATGTGTGTGGCAGGAATACTCAGGAGATCAGTGTCCTATGTACAGTAAATAACAGTAAATACCACAGCGCTCCGTTTCCTGTTCACTTAAAAACGACATTAAAGACACGATTAGTTTTTAGGTCAAATAAAGGCAGCAGAAGGTAGTTGCCCAGAGGGCCAAACACAAGCTGGAAGGAAGTTAGCATGTTGATCAGAGGGGCCACTATAGTCCTAAACTGGGACTGTTTAATTATTAAATTAAACTACTACGACCTAGCTGCTGGCTGTGTGTGTGGTGCAGAGCGACTGGGAGCTATATCATGGGCTTGACTTCAAAAAAGTCAGAGCAGGAAAATTTTACATCTTGTCTTCTAAAATATTATAACATATAAAAATGCTGATTCAAAAAGATTTGATGCTCAGATTAGTAACGAGACCCGGCCTAACGAAACGATTCAGAATCCAGGAGGACAGGCTGAGCTACATGTGCTATTTAAAGCTCAAATATGTGCATTTGAGCCAAGGGCTGTCAAAAAGAGGACTGCATTTTATAATGCAGAACACCTAAAAATGTTTGCATACTATTAAAAAAATATAGAGAGAACAGTTTGTGCTTTATTGAAAACGAAGAGGCAGAAACATTCACACCTGCCTCGTATCACCTGACATTTGCAAAGCAGATGTTCTTGATCGAAAGGATCGAAAGATGTTAGGCCAGCTGTGAAAGCTCCAGAACACCCCTCTGGAAAATCCCAGGTGGTATGGTCCTTGTCTTAAAGAGAGGGCTGGGTTCAACAAATGAGCCCATGTGAGATTAGTTTATTTCCATTCGGCAAATGTCTGAAAAAGTGAGACAAATTCTAATGTAAATACCGACACTGCTCAGTCGTTGTTATATGTGTGGGGCGGTAAGTGGTTATACTCTACAGAGACAATAATCTGTCATGCTTTGGCTTCATTTTTATGTAACTACTACATACGATATAAACAGGATTCTATCTTTCATAAGTCCAAGTGCTCCAGTAAAGTGCATGCTACGTATATCTTTCTCTGACAAAGAAGAACTGGTGCCTATGTGATTAAACGATACAATTCCAACTCTTAATTTCCTTTTTAAAGGAGCCACCTCCAACTTGTGGCTGGGAACTACCTTCCAAGCTGACACTGAAAATGAGGGGAAAAGGTGGGGGCAGAGACAGTAGGCTGGTTGCAGGGAATTATAGGTAAACATGCCAAAGTCCTTCAGTCTATGTGCCAACAACATGCAGGCAGTGGATGTCTTGCCAGGATAGAAATGTGTGAGGGCTTGGGGAGAAGAGGCCTCAGTCCCAAAACTATTTTTAAGGCAAAACTCTTCCAGTGGAGTTCAAAAAAATTCCACCAAGTTTAGACGGGGTGGGGGGAAAGGCACAAATGTCTTTTACTCTAACAGGTTTGTGACCTTTCTCATCTGTAACCTTCAACAACATGGAAAACTGATGTTTTTTCCCTCTCGTTTAGATATCTGGAAAGAGCAAGAACCCATCTTTAGTCCAGAGTAACAATCACAATAGCTATGGTGGTCTTCACGAAAGCGAAGAGATGAAGATAAAGTAGGGACAGAGCAGAATTACACGAAGAGTAGATGACTGTAGGTCCTCTGCATGGTTCTCACTGGCAATCAAAAGTATGTCTGTCTAGTGTTTTAAAAGCACTGGCACTGGAGGTTGTCATTACGGGATAGCTGAAACAATCGTATATCCAAAAGTCTTTAAGTGCAATGCAATGCAACGCGTTTATGCTGATTGCTCAGTGCACCGCTGATCAGCAAAAGGGTCGCTCATCTTCAGTGGTCCATTTTTGTCACGATAAAATGCCACAGACGAGTCTGAGTGATCAAAAAGGTCGTGGATGTTTCTTTACATAGGAGCTTCCTCTTCCATCGGTTCCTCTTCAGCCCTGTGAAAAAAGGATAACACTATGAACAAAGGAGAAGTAACAGATGCTTAAAACTGTTTCAACTAATTAACAACAAATACAACATATAATGTTACAGCAGGAAAAGGCTGCATTGAAAGAGTCCTGTAAAAGAAAGTTTTCACAGGATTCAGTAGCGTGTTGAAGCAACAACTAGAAGTCATCATTTTCTGTTTGACTTTTTCCTTCTCTCACATCGTGAAGGAATTTTGGCTCACTCTCCTTTGCAGCTTTGCTTCAGTTTTTTTAGATTCGCAGTCATTCATTGATTCATTTATCTCTCACAGCAGCATTTCAATCACTTTGGACTTTGACTGGGCCACTGCAGCACTTTGATTCTTTTCTTTTTCAGCAATCCCATTGTGCTTGGGATCATTGTTGTGTCCTGGCCCAGTCGGGGCAACGGTTTTACTGTAGCCTCACATTTAATTCTAACTACAAGATTCCCAATGTCCTCTGACTGAAAAACAACTTGGTGTGAGGTGTTTGGGCTGATGTGCCGTGTTTGTTTTCATTAAACAAGGTGCTGTGCATTATGGGCAAACACCTTCTGTTGTTCAGAAGCAACTTTGTAAACCTAACTTTAGGCTTTTTCTTGGCAATCCCTCTAAACAAGCAAAGCTTCTTCAGGGGTAACTCTGGCTCTGGTGTTGCGATATCGTGATGACCTGCTTTACCTCCTGAGCCAAATGTACACTAATGTAAACCAGTGACTGTAAATGACGACAATCAACTTACCTCTTTCCAACGTGCTTGTTTGCAACAGACAATGAGGCCATGGCAGAAACAGTTTCAGCTTCCTCTGCTTCACGCTTGAGGGCCTCACTCAAAGAATAACCCAGCGAGGAGGCAGAACGTTGCAGTGAGCACCAGTATTTACCTAATAACGAAATGCAGATAGAGTGTGTGCAGAGATATAATATGTTCCGCTAACTGGGTTTGAATGTGAAGTTTAGCATTTAGAAGCTTTGCTTACCAACTACCTGACTTACCCTTAGGGAAGCTAGTTACACCTAATTATTATTTCTAATGCCAGCAGGAAAAAAATGTAAAAGATCTACTCACTGTGAAATTCGATTACTTTCTCCATAGACCGTACCGCATTTGCATTTGGTCTCTGTTGCAGCACCTCATCGGGAATGGGGTCCAACTGAAAGGAACAGAAAACGATAGAAAAATTAAGCATGAAATGTTTTTGTCTATCAAAAGAAAAACATGCACATTTTTACAGTATCAGCGCTGAACCATCAGAAGAGTCATCTGTCAGACTACTTATGGCACCTTTGCTGAAATAAAACTGCTCTAACTTGGCGATGAAGCTATGTCTACTGGGAACATCGGTTAAGCGCTTTAAATGTATCACAGCGTTTCTTCTGGTGAGTTGCATATGGCGAGATAGGCCTTTCTATAAATGTGACTGACAGCTGTTCAGAAGCCTCCCTCCAAAACTTCACTTGAACTAATGCGAGTCCCTCCAGGTTTAAGGGATCGTTTTTGATCGTGGCCCACGGCCCACAGTTGAGTCAATCCAAGAGGTGGGGAGCAAGTTTGAGCTGCTGACACAATAGAAAATAGGCCTGCAGATGCACACCACCTCCCACTCATCAGCAGCTCTGCTACTCTTTGACACAATCGACAATGCGTGCTTTGTACAGCGTCCCACTCCGAGGACACATGCTAGTGCAACAGATGCATTAAAGCAGAAACTGCCAGTTCACCCAAGCGCTTGCACTGGCACACACGTGCACGCACGAAAAATGCAATCCTCAGAGAGCTCAGCTCCAACCGCAACACACAGAAAACAGGGCTATTCCCCAAAGTGCATTCCCAACCCGGAATGATTCAATTTCCCTTTTGGCCAACTGCACATACGACACTTTCTCATCCCATTTTGTCAAATAGGCTCATTCAGCTCCACATTCCACCACAGACAACATGCATCCCTTTTCTGCTCAGTCATAACCCCAACGGAATAAAGCACTGACTGAGAATCATGTAAAGAGAGACACGGAGAGAAAGAAAAACAGTTTGGCCTGAGATTTGTGAGCAGAATGCCAGAGAGAAGAGGAAAAAGTCATTGTCGGTTGGTCTCGCTTGGCCGAGGCTGGAAGTTTTCTTATAATTAAAACAAATAGTGTGTGGGAGGAGTTCAGAGGGAAGAGGGAAAAGGCAGTCTGGGGAGAGGGATACTTTAATCCTACTGTGGCACGACAGGCTACATCATGCAATGAAGAATGGACAGAGGTCGCACACACACACACACACGCGCACACACACACACACGCGCACACACACACACACGCGCGCGCACACAGTTTTAGCACAATATTTTCATTGGCCTATTTAATATTTGGCCAACACTTTCATCCAGAGTAACATACAGTAACAATGGACGGTCATTAAGCTTCCTAAAGCTTAATGACCGTCCATCAACTCCAACTATTTATCTATGTAATAAGTCAAAGCCGGCCTTACTTTTCCATACTGTTTAAATCCAAACAAAACCCTCAACGCACCAAAGGGCCGTTTGGGACCTTGCTGATGGTTTTCAGTCACCTCTTTGTTTCCTTTCTGTTCACTTCTTATTTCATTTTAATTCACGGCTTGCTTCAATTTAGGGTTAAAATACACCTTTCCTCAACACTAACCTAAGATTCAGTGACAGATCTGCCTCGCTGCCGTTATAGGTACAGCAGTGAGGCCCAGCTACGAGAACGAGCTGCTGCACTCAATAATCGACAGCCATGGAGCTCAATTACCGCAGAACGTTCGGTTCTTCAGCGCCGCATTTAGTCTGGCAATGATGTACGCGTCAACCCGTGTCAGCCGGCTCTCCTTCATATCCCGCCTCTTCAGCGGAGCTGAACTCGGAATAAATGTCTGGATTTTTTCTCTGGTGTTGCCATTTCACAGAAATGAAATCACATTTATGTGATACTGTAATTTCAAATGTCATTTAACTGACTGGACAAAGAAACGAGGGAGAGAAGCACATGAAATGACCCGAGTCGTATGCAGCTCTGCTCCTTAAAAGTGGTGTAACATTACTTTAGTTGTGGCGGAGAAGGAAACAGCAGTGCTTATTATCCCATCTCAAAATTTCCAAGTCTGTAGACTGAAATCATTAATCTTTTAGTCAAAACTAACTCCTCCAACCTCCAGGCTACAGCCACCATCTACCCACCATAACCCAAGCCAGTTCCAGCCCAGAACTACCCAGCCCGTGCAAATCCAGCGTGCGTCAGCTCCCTGTCAGAGCGAGGTCAGGGGTTCTCTGGGGTTTCGTGAGGTTCACGTTAGAGCAGAGTTGGATAGGGGCAGTCTGTCAGCTTGATTGACAGCTGGGCCTCACGCTTATAAACTTTAATGGCTCTTGTCAGGGTAGTCCAGGGGCCCCACCCAGCAGGTGTGGCAAACGCACATATACACACACATACAGATATGCAAGCGTACTCTAACACAAGCCCAACTTTCTCCAGGACATCCTCTGTGATGATAATTCTGCTTATTTGAGTTGGTTGTACTGGCCTTGGCCGGATGTCTGGATCTTGGTGTCATTATAAATGTGTCGCAGTCTTTGATAGATAAGTGCGAGAGAATGATGGTTTGAATAATCTCTGAGGAGGTCTGCATCGCTCTGTGACACAGCGGTCCAAAATACAAAAACTCCTGCCCAAAGGAACTGAGACACCATGGAAAGCCATGAGCTGAGCGAAAGGAACGTGGCCCGGTAAAAACATTCCTAAGAGAGGCTGAAACCAAAACAGTGGAAAGAGGAGGAATTCCACTTGTTCAACAAAGAAAAAGTGCACAAGGCATCCATTGTTTACTGTTGTGTATGTGTGCATGTGTCGGCGGTCGCTAAAACCAGTTGATTATGTTATGCTAAGTAAACAAGGAAATGATGTGCACTGTGCAAAGCAGGCCACCTTTTTTGGAATAAAGGTGTGGGTTAGCCTTGCTCTAGTGGGGGAACAGTCAGATCCAAAGAGGGGGACAGGTGAAGTCGAGTGTCTTACTGTAACTGGAGTGTAAACGCACAAAATAACCTCATTGACAGCTGGTAACAATTAGCATATTAGCCAGTTGTTTATCAAATAATTGCTAACAACCGTGGTTCGAGCTGGGCCAACATCTGTTTGTGAGCAATCATCAATTAGTCCAGAGTTCAGAGTTGACTAGTGGAGCTGCCAATGCATCATTCATGAGCTATTTAACTAGAGAAACTTCAGCATTATGCATTACAGCAGTGAGACTGAATAAAAGAGCCTGTAAAGTCCATTCAGCAATTTTCTTCCCTAACTCTTCCCACCAGCTAATTTGAGCTGCTTTCAAAAGAAACCCAATACTCATTATAGCAAAGCTTGTCTTAACCTGCCAAAGAAAGTACGGCTAGAACTCTCACACAAGTTCGAGTAAAACACAGAAAGTACGAGACACAGGGGAAGAGAAGATGATGTATAACATACAGAGTCTTTTGCAGTACCTGCGCATTACCTCCCAGTCCATGATGGTCAACTAAAGAGCACCAACAGCATGAACAGTGTTTCAGTTATAGTCGTGCATTGGGTTCATGATACCTGCAGACAAACCCCTCGCCCCCCCCCCAGGCAGCTGGAAGCAACATAAACAAATGCACAGCTGACCAGCAGTGATCGTATGCCTCAGTCCATCCCTCCAACACGCACACATGCACAAACTGAAACAGTCTCAAAGAAAGAGAACGAAAGTACTCAGTCATTCAAAAAAAAAAGGATTTATTCTGACTGTTATTCATTTGATGCCCAGCTGGCCTTGGACCCAAAGGTTGGCAAGGCTTCACTGTTCCTAAACTTTGTTTTTGCCATTACCAGGACAGAAAAACAAAACAAGAAAACAGGCCACCATCCTTTCCCTCCAGCTCCATCCCCCACTGACGTTTTCCATCAACATTCCTTGTCCATTACAGAAACGTTTGCTGAGATTACGTTAGAAACACTTGCTTCCTGCTGTTTTGATCCGATCAGGGACATTTTAGTCTACTTTTTCTTCTTTGCTATCAGCTATCAAAGCACCAAACAACCGTGTGATCTGCCTTTGTTCAAACAGCTGACATCACTTGCTGCCAAAGAGCCAGCCGGAGCAGGTCATGCAAACTCTAGTTCTATCTTTGAAAGGGAAAAACATCATTGTGTTCTTCACAACTTTACTCAAACCAGTCTGCCCATTCAACACATGCCAGTAAGGCCTTCTGTACAACATGTCCTGTCAGGCTCCTGCCATATATCTATATCTATATATATATATATATATATATATATATATATATATAAATATATTTAAAATCATTATTCAAGATTTTGTTTTTTAAATTAAAGATGAAGCCAAGTTGTTGGGACTTGTGTATAGTGGCCAGGTTTATTGAAAAAGACTCCGAAGACCTGCACAGGTACAACAATACTTACACACGTCTTAATAACAATAGCTTCCTCCCTCCCGACTTCAAATGATTGCTCCATTTCCTTTTATTATCGGATTCCAAGACCAAGGCTGACCCTGCTTGCAGAGGTGTGAGGGTAACCACTTTCAGATGTGTATCAATGACAGGGCCCCGGGTGAGAGGGATGCCCTGCAGAGCCGAGGCAATTGACGCTCCCTGCCTCCTGCCTATTTTCGAATTTTCAGCTCCCCATGGCACTCGTCCAGGTACCTCCTCCAAACCCCTGCTGAGACTGGTGCTCTACAGGCGGCTGAAACCTTAGAAGCAAAGCCCCTGGCCTAAAATATTATTTTTGCTTCAGGGCGGTACTGTGAGTAACGAAAGTGTCCTTCAAGCTGGAAGTCATGAGCACAAACCTTCGTGACAGCAAAAAGCATCCGCCCTTCTGAAGTGTCCTTGAATTCCTGAAGCTTTAACAGATGTAATGGCAGTGCTATGTACTGCAGCTTCAAGTCATTGGTGGGCAAAATGCAGGTACAGAGAGGCAGGTTATTACATTTAGCCTCCAAGTTTAGCCATTTCCCATGAGCTGGAAGCTTTCTTTGATCTGTTTAGTCAGCGGTTAAAACATCGCCAGCGTGCTCACGATGCACTTTACGATTCTTTTTAGAAACGCCATTTTTATTTTGTTTTTCATGCAGGCTTTGTTTAGAGTTTATAAAATAAAAGTACATTTTTAATTATTATTGCTTTTTAGTATTTTGCATTAAAGTGTCCCGAGGAAAATGTTAATAACACTGCATCAATACACTGTTACATCACATGGTATGATGTATTTGTATTTCAAGGTGCTCTATACTGCTGATACTGCAGAAGATGACGGTTTTAGCAGGAACAGAAACAACTCCAATGACAACGATCTGAGCCTGTGCGTGTGGCAAAGACTCCAGTTTAGATTGTTCCATTTTTAAAATAAATGTTAATATATGTCAGTCTGGATATTAATCCTCGATGTAAAGTGTCTCTCAAGAATCTCCACTTGAAACCGCAGTTCGCTGGTTCCTTTGCAATGAATCAGACACCAGCTAGAAGAAATCTGTGGGTAGCCATGAATCACAGAGCTGCTCCACTCCACAACCTACACACTCTACAATTAACCTTCTGCCTGGAAATCCTCCCTCTGACGTATGTGTGTGTGTTTGGTGCTCACTTCCTGTCTGAGTGGTGGGGTAGATGAAGAAAATGTGAAGAGCTTGGGCTTGGATGAGTTAAAAATAAAAATCAGCCTGCTGTTGTTGCAGAATTGTACAAACTTGTGGTGTAGTAATAAAATACTTTTGAAAACAGGTTCATCCTTCAGCAGGGACTATGAACCAAAACACTGCTGTTATGTGCGATGTAAGAAAATACATGACAAACACTTAAATATTCAATCCTAAAACATTGTAACAGCAAATCAAGAACCGAAATCATCGCTCAGTGATTCATTTGTAACACTTTTTGTTTTAGCGTCATTCATTTAAAGTGTACACAAAAAGTCTGCAGTGTTACTGAACCGCCTACTTGCACTGGAGCTCAAACTCCAGTGCAAGAATTATATGAGTGCTCACATATCATCACATATCAGCTGACACAGGCAAACGGTCATCTTTAATGTGCTGATCAAGAACAGTTTGACAATACTTGACAAATATTTAAAGTACTCTCTCCTTCTCTCTCTGCACATCTTACCTCATTGCCAAGCAGAGCAGAGATGCAGGCTTCAGAGGCATCACATATGGCTGTGAGGTCGTGACCCCCCTCCAAGGCAAGCACCAGCCGACCGCCTGCCAGACCCATCAGCTGCCTGGTCAGGTAGCCAAAGCCTGGACAGACAGGAAATCACAGCAGAAATGGCAAAGGGAGGGAGAGAGAAAGAGCAGGAAAAGAAAGAAAGACGAAGAATGAAATGGTATTCAGCCTCTAACTTCCTTTCTGGATATTGATCAAAGAAAAAAAAAGCGGCTGGAGCGTGGATGAAGGAAGGGGTGAATGCATCACAGAGGAAAAGAGAAAGCGAGTGCACTGTGGATTTACTGGGGGGCAAAAAACAAGCCCTAATATAAGCCAGGTTTAATTTTAATAAATGTGGCTTTGCGTTTAGTCTTGGTCACAGCCTTTGATGTTTTTCCTCTCAGGATGAGGGGCGTTCTTATATATGTATTCAGCCATACTTTAGTCCCCCTAAATTCGACCATATCCCCTCTTCCTGCAATCCTCTTTAACCCACCCATAACCCCCCCTCTTTGACAACAAAGACCCCTAGCTCTTATTTGAGATCTGCTGGATGGTTTTAGAAAAGCTCTTTGCTGTCACGTCAGGGTCTCTATCTGAATATGTAAGTTAGATATGCACACTGCACACAAAAGGGGCGAGTTTATGTTTTTGAGTCTTTCCTAGCATTGAATGCAGTGTAGCATCACACAGCATACGGCACGAGTGACGTGGTGCACGCCTTAAGATGTGCATATATGATTCAGCTCATAGGAAAAAGAAAAAACAGATTTAGAAGAAATGAAATGGACAGTTTGAATCAGCACTTACATTTGGCTGTCAGTTTGTATCCTCCCAGCGGTGGGGCATGTCCATCTACTGCATCAAAGCCAGAAGATACCAGAACCATATCAGGCGCAAACTCATTGGCAATAGGCATGACCACCGTCCTGGAGAAACAATAGGCAACGTAATGTATCCGTAAAAACACTTTAGTTAAATCTCAGTCAGTCAAAGCTTTTCAGCTTCTGATGTCTATATTTCGACCTTACGCATCAGCATCTGCATGCATGCTTCTTATTTGGCTTGCTGCCCCACACACGAAGGCCAGAAACCAGAAGTAATTTTAAAGTCTAGTGTTTCTCAAAAACATCACAAAATCTTGGCGATAAGTGAGGTTAGATTTTGTCACACAGCCTTGTGGAAAATTCTCACTATTATATTGTATTTTTCAAGCAAGGCTATAAAAAGTGTCACACTACATTTCACTGGCATTCTTGCAACCGGATATTCTTGAACTGCCACATATGGTTAATATTTGATCTAAATGACAGGGTGACCGGGCTGCTCTTACTGTATGAAACATGTATTTTTTTTTAAAAAAATGCATTAAATACAGCAAATACTTTAGATTAGAAAGAAATGCAGCTCAAACCACCAAAAGGAGAATCAAAACCACCAAGCCTGAGATTTCAAGATTAAATTATAACACTATTAGAAGCTGTCCCATGTGAATATAAACAGTTCGTTTTTCCCACTGCCATATTTCCAATACATGAAACTGTGTCAAAGGATAAGGAACTCACAACAAAGCATACATGGACATTAAAGAAGCACAAAAACCAAAGTGCTCACATCAACAAACTCAGGTCTGACAGACTTATAAATACCAAATAACGATTACCTCAGCCAAGGTTATTAAACACGATAGCTCGGAAGGTTGAACTTTGCAGTCATGTTTATAATCCATTAAAATTTGGGTTAGATCTACCAAGGTCTTCAAGGTTAACTTGATGATTTATTGTTTGAAAATTGACAAAAATTATTATAAATTGGCAGCTTATAGAAAGTACCATATATAGACTTAAAGTATCATGTCAGATTTGACCTCTGCTTTGAGATCGATGGACTGATCTGAAGGACAAAGTGATGATAATAGTATGTAGAGCTGCTGAAAACTATGTTAATAACTGCCATCGTCTTTAGGCATATATGGACTGCTATATGGCTTTGCATCAGTATTGTGTTAGCTCTGATGACTAAAAGAAGAGTAACAAGGACTGCTATAAAATCAATATACTAAGAAATGGCTTCAGTGTTCTTAGTGCCCTCGTGATGTTGCTTTCTTCCACTCTGAGGATGCTACAATTCACTCGCACTGTCAATGAATTGCAGTATTTTTTTTTTTTTAATTTCTAAACGGTCATTTTTCTCCATTTCATGGTTTTCAAAGCAAACATCCAACTAATCAGTTTGTTTGTACAGTATGTGTGTGGTAAGGAAAACTGCCACATAAATGTTTGAAGTGGAAGTTTTGGAAATTTAGTGCAATGAACCGCATGAACCTTAAGTAAAAAGGAAAAACGGAAGGACAGATATAATTGCATATGTGTATGCGTGTTAAGTACGGAGGATAACTAAGACTGGATGGGTGTGGTGAATGAGGGCTGCTTGTGTACAACCTTCATTTGACTGCTTGTGTGCAATGTGTCATACACAGAAATCAAATCAACAGTGGAATAGTGCGGAATGATTCACTGCAAGCTGTGGCTGGAAAATCCAGTCGGTTTATAGGATGACCTTGTTTTGAAGAAAGGGTTTTTGACCAAGCAGATTAGATAAAATAAGATTAGAGCTGTTTATATTTAACTTTTTTTGTCGTCCTATCACAAAATAACAATAACACAACTTTTAAGAAGTGAAAACTTTAGATGTTTATGGGGTTTCCATAAGTTATGAACCTGTAATAATCAATCCTCGAACTAGTAATAACAGGAGGGGCACAGACGTATCATGTGACATAGCATTCTGGTTTAGCATAATTTACAATGTCTAACTGAGTTCATAAATAGGACTTCCCAGATGGCAAAACAAGTGTCTCTGTCATTCGCTGTGGAACCTCTGGCATGGCACAACAATTTTTCTGGGGCCTGGGATATTTGGGCAAGTAGCATTTTAGTGAGGTCTGTGACTGATGGAGTACCACAGGGTTTCGTTGTAGGTCCCCTGTACTTTGCTGACCTCAGGAACACGGTGTTGGTTTGCCAGCTGTGGGTGAACAGCGTGCCCTGAGCTCCGTAGGCCGCAGGTTTTTCCATCTCTTGCTCACCACCAAATTATAACCCTTAGCTGTGCACACCCCACCCCCCACCACAACACAACACTCCTACATACACACAGCTGTCTGAGGGAGAGGTGGGAGGTAGCACTGGGAGGTTTTTGGGAGTCCCAGACAGTAAGTATACGCAGAGTGTGAGCGTCACTGTGCGCTATCGTGCAGCTGGCAGCGTTTCAGATGAAAACGTCCGGCCGAATAGGATGAAAAACAAAGTGAACTTAATTGAGTAAAGACATAAATGAAGAGTGGATGAATGAGGCGAAAGACGTGACATACTGCATCTTTTTTTTTTGCTGTTTTCCAGCCTTTCATATACTTCAAGTCAGACAGCCGTAAACAACACAAACGTGTACACGAGCAACACAGATAATTATGTTTGGATTTATGTTAAATTAAAAAGGACTTCTGCTAAACCCTCTGACTAACTGCTACATTTATTTAAGCATACAGCCTTGGCCCATTAACATTTGGGGGCCATAAAGACCCCACACTAAAAGAAGCCTGCCACAGACGCTTATGTGGCCTGACACACGACTTGGTGGGAAACCTTGACTGCCGAGGATATGCCTCAACCACCAAGGGCTCCTCCACCCTCTCCCCTCCAACCTTGAATACAAACAGCAACTAGTTCTGGTCACAATGCTGAAAACTGCTGGTGTCGACAGTTCCACACCCCACCCCACTGGAATAATATCCTGACATTTAAACAAATAAAAAGCCGCAGTGATCAATTACCAGGCTGGCAGAGAGGGAAGTAAGTGGTTTTGAGAAGGGCTAATTGTGCGTGAATCAGAGGCTATGCACGCTGAGATGAAAAAGACTTTTTGTTAATTAAGGGAGGGGAGAGTTTACGACTGAGCCGTAAGCGATGGGACATCCTGACCAAAGAGGCTGAAATCTAAACCACTGCTGGCTGTCTCCCAGTTACATTTAACTACAAATGCAATTACTTGACAGCTATGTGGTCTAAACTTTTGTTTAGCATTGTTTGGCTTACCTAGCAACAGGTGCAGCTGAGTCTGCATGCACAGAGAGCACAAAGGAATGCTGAATGGCTGTTGCACTTCAGCTATGAGATGGCTTTAATAAGAATACTCAAAATAGATGCAGCGGAGCTCGGGAAAACAACGAATCCTACACTTCCTGTTTCTGCAAGCCAGAATAAGCCTGGTGACATCACTGGGGGTATTTTCTCAGTCTTTTCAGAGAGAAGGAGCTCCTGTCCACAGAGTGAGGAGCATTCCCTCAGCTGTATGAACAGATCTCCATGCGTAAAATCTGTGGAGGCGAACACATATCTTCGATTGGCACCGCTTTAAAAGACTTGACCATGCTCAACCTTATAATGCACACTCTTTTTCATTTACTCTGCTCCAAGTAATTTCTCCTTGTCTGATTCCAGTGAGCACTTTTAGTATTTGGCACATGTCACCCAACATGATATCAAATGTGCACACTCGAAAAAGTTAACGCGGCAATAGGTCTCGGCATAGCTGTCATTTTTTTGAGCCAAGAAAAACTTCCTCTCTCGGGACTACACATCTGTATGTAATTAATCTAGTCCTGAATTTATACATTGCCAGATCTTGATTATGCCCTGTGATCCCATGTACTTCAGCTTTGTAACATGAAAAGCAGTACTGTCATGTACAGAATATATATATAAAAAAAAGTATTACTATCCTATCATTTTGTATAGGATGACTGGCTCTGGTCTAGATGAAAATGCCACCAAATTAGATATTTGTAAGCTTTAAAGCTCAGAGAAATTCATTCTCATGGGGGAAAAAAAGGAAAGAAAGATCCTTCAGAGGGAGCAGCACTTGTCAAACCAGCAAACAAAAGGTTAAACTGCAGGCTTCCCCCCTTCGTTCATAAAAAATGAACAGGAGAGCAGGAGAAGAGGGAGAATAAGAGAGCGAAAAACTCACACACGCACACTTACACTTCAAAGCCCTGTCATCTGGCTCTGCGGAGAGCTGGTTTGAATTAAATTTAATTCTCCTCCTCTCTCGTCTTTCCAAGTTCATGGCAAAAAGAGGGGGGTGGGTGGGATGGGGGTGAGAGAGGAAGAGAGAGAGAGAGACGGGGAAAGAGACGGTGCTTCTGGTTTTCATTAGGGCCAATTTTCTTATCTTTTTTCTCTGTGCTTTCTGGAGGCTCAGACTTGATCCCCTGCAAATGCAACGTGGCACAGGCCAGAGGAGGAATGGGAAGGTACTGGCTGCAAGGCACGCATCCCCTCCTCAAGACAGAGAGAGGAAGGAAAAGACCAAAACACACAAGTAATAAGAGTGAAAGAGCAACTGTGTTCACCAGGTGTTTATTTTGGGTTGTAGATGTGTGAGCAAACAGATATGAAAGGTGTGCATTTGCACATCTGTTGCACTGTGCACATTTTGCACACAATCATGCAAATTTGAATCAGGGCATGATGCATTTGTTTGACAATGAGTGCATGCATGCGTGTGTGTGTGTGTGCGTGCATTTGTGACAGATCTATGACCTGCGCACAGGTTTGCTGGTGCCCCCGTGGGGCATATAAATTGTCCAATACCTCTGGAGCCTCTGGGAATTAATGGTGACACGACCTGAGGTTCATGAACACCAAGCTCCTATTCTGCCTCACGCAAAGAAGGCTGAATCGCAATCGCATTAACAACCTCAGCATGCACAGGCTGATATGCAAATGCACGTATCTGTGTTCATCACTCCAGGACAAACGCACACAAAACAAGGGCATAAGAAAAGTTGATCCAGATGACAGCAACACTTTTAGTCCAGTGTGCGTTAAGAGTGTAAAATTAAATATTAAATAATTGTAAATGAGAAAAAAAAAAGCGTGAACTCTATTTTCTGAGGCAAATTCTTAATCACAGGAAGCCAGAGTTTGAGTGAAAGTTCCCTTTGGTTCAGTTAACTGTGTTTTCATGATTATATTTTTGGAACTATTCAAGAATTTCTAAAACTTGAAATGAGTGTGCAGGGTTAATTCTTTCCCCTCCTAATGCAAATAAACATATAAATACAGAGTTATAAAAGTAATAACTTAGTAATTTAAGGTCTTCCTAATGGTCTCTTGTGCTGTTAGTATTGGAGAGCTCTCAGTTATACTCATCTCAACTGTCAACACAGTCATTAACATTTAAAAGGTGATTTAATACAGAGCACGGTTACTAGTCTCTTTTTGTGGTTTTATTTATTTATAAATTCCTGAGAGTAGCACGTCTATGATGGTAGAGGGAATGAGAATGAGGCAGCAGCTACTGACTTCAGTCATAGATTATAAGTAATAGCTGCAGTATGACATACATTACGTGGCTGTCATCAACGCAGATGCAAAGAGCAGGGTAGAAAGAGGAGGATGAGGAGGAGAGAGAAGAATACAAAGGAGAGAGATGGGGAGCGAGAGCACCCTGGGTTCTGGGGTGCATTAAGAAGCTAAGGTGTACTTCCGGGGGATTGCGTGCCTAAAGCCGCGATGAGCCAGTGGCCTGTTGGTTTGATGTGTCGGGCTCGGGCCAGATGGACAGACAGTTGCAAACATGGACTCATCTTCAAAGAGCGCTGGAACCAATCCAGGCCTTCTCCTTTCCAGCTGTGTGAACTAAAAATGTATGAGAGACAGGTACATGTCTGCACCGAGTGCATGCCTGTATCTGTGGAAGCTTATGTATAGTTATAGGAGCGCGCCTAACGGGAATCAGATGGGATAAGGGTGAGCACCATAAGTTCTTAACAGCTACCAACAGGTAATTTGTTACACACTGTACTTCATACTCCAAGGCTATGACAGGAAGAGTTAGACTGCAGTGAGTGACATCACTGTCTTACCTGAATGCAGCTAGATACTCTGCATCCCCCATAGGAGGGTCCAGTCCCCCAGTAAAGGCCATGTTCACGTTAAAACCTTCACCTGCTCCACTGCCCACCTAGGAAGCGCAAACACACGTGACTGGGTTTGTTATGTGTGGGCTGACCGAAGGCTGGGTCTGAAAGGTTTATTAAAAGCATTTGTCGTCTTTACCTCATCGGGTGCGCCACTTCCCGGGAAGAAATTCCCATCATCGTAACGATGCAGGGACAGGTAAAGGACACTGGGGTCAGCGTAGAAGGCCTGCTGGGTTCCATTGCCATGGTGGACATCCTGGAAAGATTATAATGGGCATTTTTTTATTAAAAAATAAGCATATAATAATATTTTCAGTGTAATTATCCTTTAAATCTCTTCGGTCAAAGAAAAACCAAATACCAGGGGCACATAGACTCTGCCTCGTCATTAAGACGGATTATGATGAATAGGTTTGAGGAAATTAATGAGATTCACAGAAACGGGACCATCAATCTCTGCACCTCCACTTGGACCAGCTGACTGATGCAGAGAGAGAGTCCTATACTGCCAGACTATATCATCTCCTTCCAGCCTGTTGCGATGTCACAAAAGGATTCAGCGCGATTCAATAAAACACTCGACTTCAACAGCTGCTCACTTTTGCCAAAAGCGTCAGTTATAAATGACCTCATTGTCTATGTCTATGAATGCTACAGTACACAATTTCTAAAAATGTCCCGGCGGCTGGAGGCGAGTGCCATGACAATGAGCCTGCACTCAGCGTCCCCCTGTGACAGACAGAGAGGAAATTAAAAGGCCCTTCAAAGGCTTTGGGGAATGGCCGTGACCAGCCAGGGATGCCACTGAACAGCACCGCTCCTGGACACGACAAAGGCTCCGTCATACCTTCTTATAAATTTTATTTTTTTCTCTGTGAAGAAAAAAGGGATAATATCTGACCCAAATAGCCAGACAAGAGCTCAGTTTGCGGCTGCTATGTTCATAACCCCTCGCAATTTAAAAACAAGTGGAACAGATAACATAATGAGGATTTTTATATTTTTACTGCCTCATAAATCTAGCAGCTATTTTCTTTTCTTTGTTAATAGAAGTTAGTGAGACGTTTGTGCCTTTGTCAGCTGACAGTCTCTTTCTTTCACACTTTATGGTATAAAAAATTATTTTAAAGTAGTTATGCAGAAGGGATTATTCTGGGATGCAACACGAGCATAAAGAGAAACAAAGAGTAGCTAGCCAACGTTGTCAGTTTCTCTCTCAACTCTTTGTCCTTCAAGTGAGAGCAGACGTCTACCGTGCAAGAACCTTGAGCCACATCGTGTCTAATATTGTACCTGTGCATACAGGTATGCTGTCATGTAACAAACATCCCACTGAGAAACTCACCCAGTCTACGATGAGGATTTTACTGACATTGAGCCTCTGCTGCAGGAGCTTGGCTGCTATGGCGACTGAGTTAAAATAACAGAAACCCCTGAGGATTGAACAAAAAAAAAAAAAGGAAAAAAAAAAAGAGAAGAAGACAGCAACAAAATGATGACATTTTAAATTTTATACTCATGCTTAAGCAATATTATTTGCATCATGCAGTAAGTGCTGTATAAAAAGTACAGAAACACTAAAGTAAGAGGAAAACAGCTTTGTAAGATGAGATTACTTACATAGGTGTGCTCTCCTCAGCGTGGTGTCCAGGGGGTCGAACGATAGCGAAGCCATTCTGTCGGCAAAAACAGATCACAGATGACACGCCTGCTCACTTCATTTAAAAGACTAGTAAAAAATAGTTTCACAAATCCACTGCTGCATGCAAAAACCCACACATGGAAATCCATAAAGACTGCGCTTGGACAGTTTCTTAATTGCTTATTTAACGTGGGGGCTTGGGATAGTGGGCCTACACTGGCTGAATTAGCCCCTCGTGTGGTCCCATGGACAGGTGTCCAATCCATCACAGGGCAAACACAGAGTGACGCATAACCACACACTCTCACATTCATACTTACAACTCATCACAAATTAACCTAAAAAGCATGCTAACACAACTGGACTATAACAACGAACACATTATTTTCCCAGCATCGCTATTTACCCCGTAAGGACGAGTAATGTGTCGATGAACAGAAAGAACACAAATACATTCAGAAGTATTAAAATCTATTTCTGTATTCTAAAGAATACAGATGTTAGCTTCTCCCACTGAAAGTGCATGCGTGTCCTCACGGGAACAATGAGTCTGTTAAGGCGAGCTTTGTCAAGGCAGGACTCCGAGCAATTGTTTTTGGAGGGTCCCAGCGCAATGTGGGGACATTAGATAGATGTTTGAGCTTATGTAGAGCGATTGCAAACTGGACTAATGATGTTGAGTCAGCTGCAGCGGATTAGCAGCCAGCCGGAAGATTACTGTAGCGACAACTGCCTCTACTGGTTTCCCCACACACGGTTAAAGAACTCTGTACGGTACCATATGTATGTGAGCGAGTGAAGTTTCTCTATACAAAGAAAAAAGTAATTAAATTAAAACAGACGTGGGGGGGAAACAGAAAGTAGAAGCCACAGAGACAGAAGTGTGTGTGTGTGTGTGTGAGAGAGGGAGTGTGAATGTGTGCCTTCAGTAGATTTATGGCTTTCTGTGGAGTTCATAGAGTTGTTGGTGCAGGTGGAATGTGGTCATTTGGCCATGAAGGATCCTCGGAGAACCGTCTGCATGTGTGTAAGCATGCGTGCGTGTGTGTAGGTGTGTGTGTGCATGTGTATACAAGCATTAATTTGAGGGTAAGTCAATACCAGCAAACTTTAAGCAGGAAATCACTCAAACTAAACTGTGTTGTTGTTAATTGTGCAAAGTGATGCACAATCACTCATGCCCACTCAACATGATGGCAGGATGCTAGCAACCCCACCCAAAACTCAGCTGGGTATCAGCATGGTGTGCTACTGTTTCTTGCTGAAGAACGTCACGAGATAGTGTGCTATACTGGTGCAAAGCTAACGCTAACCTGGTCTGCAGGTGGCTTTGGTGCAACACTTCTAAAGGGGGCCTGTTAATGGGGACTGCTGGCGCTTGCGGTGCGTGTGCACCGGGTCTCCCTGCTGGGTTCAAACAGCAAGCCGCCACCGCCACAGACGCACGAGTCTGGCTGGGATGGGGAGAGGCGTGATGGGGTGGGGATGTCTGTCTGGGAGGTGCGAAAGTTGGTTCTGGAACTTTTTCCTTGTTTTTTTTTTTTTCCTTTAAGGTGTCTGGAAGTACGGCCGGATAGCACATTACTAGAGGTGACCTGATATAGTGCTCTCTTTGCGCTGGGCCTTGTTCTGTCTGTAAGCCTATGTGACTGGAACTCAGGTGGAAAATCGACTAGAGCAGTAAGACCTTAACAAGGATATTAAAATCAAACCCCTCGAAGTTGGAGGGGACCAATTATACTGCAGAGTCCATTTGAGTTACATAGCATTTAAAGGTTAACGCACATTTACCCGCTCCTAAAGGCCACAAGTGCTCCAATGCCTAAAAATACACTGCAGCCCTGCAAACAGCCATGACTAATCGAACTCCACGGAGCATCCAAACCAACCTTCAGTTCTCCCGATGCTACTTTGAAGACGAGCTCCACCACAGAGCCAACAGCCAGACGCGCTGCGCTGGATGAATGGACTTCATTCCAAATGGTGTCGCTGTCCACCTGCCAACACACACAAACACACATGAGGCCTTGTATTGTTTAAATAACATTTTCAAACGGAGCCAAAATATGCAACTTCATACTGTTTTCCACTTATCTATTTTTTGCTGGTGTTACTGACAGCACTTGAGTGGGGCAGAAGTCGTAAAACTGAGCACATTTGAAATCATTTAGCTTGTGTCATTTCACAACATCAAAGTTACTCTTTGAAAGTTTGTCTGCAGCGGTGCAAGAAGGGCTGGAAAATTTATTCACTGTGAGGAAAACAACAGAGAGAAACACTACGAGACATAAAATTGGAGGATTCATCGCGCTGTGTATAACACAACAGACTTTCTAAAAATCCCTTTGATCCGTAAGGATATGACACTGTAACTCCGCACTCCAGAAACCAATCAAAGACTTAAGTATAATATGATGAAAACACAAAAGCCTTAATTAATAACAGGTTAAGCAGCAAATTTATAGTAAGTTGTCAGTTTATACGTCAGTTTTAAGGTTAAACCATATAGAGGGGTTTTCAGGCAAACAACACTCATTACGTTTACAGATATTTAGAGACATTCCATAATTTATCCACCTTAAAATATTACACGACAAAAAAAAAAAAAACTGTAAAAGGCCGATTAAAAAAAAAATTTTTTTTTGGTATAGAACATGAGGTTTTTTTTTTTTTTTTAAATGACTAAAATGTGCGTGTGTGTGATCATATCTTTGTGGGGACCAAGAAATGGACGTTTACTATACGTGTGAGGACCAAAATCCTGGTTCCTGCAAGTCTGAAGGCATTTCTGAGACTCAAAATGTGGCTTTAGTGACAGGGTTACAATAGGGTTATGGTTAGGTATAGGGTAAGGGTTAGGCATTCATATATCATGGTTAGGGGTAGGGTGAGGGGATAGGGAAAGCTTTATGTCAATTAGATATACCCATAAGATATGAATACCTGACGTGTGTGTGTTTGAGCATGCTTAGACACAGGGCAACTATTCAGTGGTCAAGCCTGATTAATGCAGAAGCACGGGCAGCGCAGCGCCCCCCCCCCCCCCCCCCCAGCCCAAATCACTACAGTACCTACACACACATGCATACAAGCCCAACAGACCACAATAGTCTGTGTGATTGATTGTACGCAGAGGGCCACGCACAGGATAATATACACACCCTCCATCAGGCATGGCAGATACTGCAGGCAGATGGAGCACACGATAAACACAGAGAGAAGAAGCTGGCTGAGGAAAAGAAGAAAGTGAAGGCCTGTGTGTCAGTGTGTTTTGAACCGTGCACACATGTGCAGAGCGGCCGACGCCAGAGCTCTAAGCGAGGCTTTCCTGATGTAAACCTGGGGGTCTTTGAATATGTTAACTTTAACCTGCCAGTCGCTCGCCCTTTCATCCACGCCGCTGGCCTTTCAGTCAGTCAACTGACCGAGTGGAACATTAACCTTAGCCACCCAGTCAGATCCTCGGTCCTTCAACCAGTCAGCGAGCCGAGCGAGTCGACAGCCTTTCAGGCAGCCGCCCCCCTTTTCCTCCGGTCTCCAGTGACGAAACTGATCAAGGCCGGATGATTACTCCATAATAACATCCACGGAGAAGAAAAGGGGCTCTTTTAAAGTTGCGCCAAGAAAGAATTTGTCATGAAATGAAACTGTGGAGCGCTCAACATACACTAAAGATACTAAAAAAAGGGGAGTGCATTGTTGATGAGTGACTAATGGAACCCAATGTGAAGAGAGGGGAACGCGGTGTAAGTGGATGACAGTATGTAGTAGCCGAGTCAAAGACTGAGCGAGCGAGCAAATCAAGAGTCAAGTGAGTGAGTGAATGGGAAACTGAATCATATATACAAGTCAGGTTAATGAGCGCAAACAGATGCTGCTCTGAAGCAGCGCGAGTGCTTTATTATTTCCCATGTTGATGTTTAGTTTTGCCTCGAGCCTGGAGGGGGACACAAGCTCGTCGGGGGAAAGTGAAAGGGAAGTGGTGTGTGTGTGTGCATGTGCGTGAGTGTGAGTGAGTGTATGTGTTAGAGGCAGAAAATAGCGGGAACGTGCTGGTATGACAGAATGATGGTTCTCCACAGGCTGACAGCTTAATTTGAACCCCCTTCCTCTGCAAGCGAGTGAGTGTGTGTATGTAAGACTTGTATGTGTGTGTATGACAGGAAAACAACAATTTAGTCCCATTTGCCATTATAAAGAGCAGAACGGAGCAACGCAGAACTCCGGCTTTTCTTGTTCCCACCGCAGCAGCAGGAGTGGTGGCCCCAAAGGAGGCAAGAAGAGGAGAAAGGAAACAGAGGTATGAGGAGATGAGGAACGATGTAGAGAGATCAGGTATGTGGCAAGGTAGGCATGATGTAGCCTTTCAAATGCTCAATATTGTGAAGACAACAACAAAAAAAGCATGGAAACACACACACACACACACACACACACACACACACACACACACACACACACACACACACACACACACACACACACACACACAAACAGGTGCACAACTGTTCCAATGTATCAGTTTTCAGATACATTATCACTTCCAACTTGAAGCAGCCATCAAAATCATTGCCTTAGCACACAAGAATCCCCAAACACAAACTATGCAATGCACACAAACAAAGTCATACCCCCTGCCCCACACACACACACACACACACACACACACACACACACACACACACACACACACACACGCACGCACGCACGCACGCACACACAGCTCGTAACATCTGGTTACAATTACTAACACGGCGGAAAGGCGAGCAACAGCTTTTGTTGCCTCTGGTCCTTGAGGGGTGGTGTTTGTGTGTGTTTGTGTGCATCTGCGTGCTAGTGTGTCAAGGCTGTGTGTGTGTGTGTGTGTGTGTGTGTGTGTGTGTGTGTGTGTTTGTTTGGTGCAAAGAGAACAAATGGGACCATTATTTAGGCAGGGGGCAGAATGAGTGGGCGAAGGAGACACTTATTATACTGCTATTTGATAAGGCTGAAACTATGCTTATTTGCTTCATTCCAGAGTCTGATGGAGCTGTGCCAGATGGGTATTGATTAGACTAACAGTGTTGTAAAAACACAAGTGTCTATTACAACAATTTTCCACTGAATAAACCAGTATGACTAACAATGGCCTTTTCCAAGAAATATCAAGAGCGCAAATTACAAATACTTAATTAGACAGTGAATATTTGGAAGATGACTTAAGCATGAATTAACAAACAGAGTAAGTGACTTACCCCTATGCCTCCACACGGCAACCTCACAAACATGGGATTTACTGAACCTGAAGAGAAAGAAATGAAGTGAAGAATTAGAAAGAGAGAAAGCAAAAGTGAAAGGTTACTAAGGGAAGAGGTTGCACTGCAGACTCACAGACACCCTTAAAACCAACTATTTGACTTTGTGACCTTATCTAACAGCAATAGTACACAAGGGCATGCTTTAATTAGGTGAGGTGAAGAAAAAAAAGTATCTGCTTGACCTCTCAATCAAGCCTTCTTCAGGAAAAAAAATCTAGATTTGGCCAGAGAGGGGTCAGTTTGTCACTGAAGAAGAAAATCAATAAACTTCACATTTCTGACATGTCTGAAAACAAACTAAGCTGACGTAGTTACTGACCCCGAGTGAACTCTTTTCAAATGTGTGCTTACACTTTTAATTTCCTTTCAAACAAAACAACATCAGCTTACTTTATTATTTGTAATTTCTTTTGAAATTAAATCTGACTGCTTAACATAATCCTAATCCAGAGTTAAACACTACACCACTAACAAATATTTAATATAGTGTGAATACTTTAATTCCTGATTAGCCGCCACCTTTGTGGTTTATTCCTTTACTCCAGCTCTTACTGTAGGCTATCCCACTTGTACGCTGAAGCTCACACAGGAGTATCTGGTAAGACTCCTGTGTGAGCAGTAATAATAAGAGGAATTTATGCCTCCACTGAGTGAAAGCCAAGATCGCCACTGGGGCTCGCCCCTTTGATTTTTTCACATAATGCAGACTACTTCACTACACCTGCACTTTAAGGCCAGACATAAGTGACTAAGCAGCCTGCGAGACTTTTAGTTTAGCAGCTCTAGTTGGTCCTTGTCTTATCGTAACACCTCTGAGGACTTTATTAGAAGGACCTTTAGTTATGATACGATTTAAGCATTAGAACAGATTCCTTTAAACGGACCCTGCAGAGTCAGGCGGTCAACTTCAGACTTGTGAATAAATGCATGAAACGCTACAATTCTCAAAAACCCAGTAAGTCTTAAAGCATCCACAATTTTTTTAGACTAAACTAATGAGTAATCTAGTCTAGGAGGTGAAGCAGTGCACGCTTGGAAAAAGTGTGTTTGTGAATGTGTGAATGTGTGTGAGGAAGCATGTCTTACTGTCTAGTTTCTGCCGCAGCGGGTTAGTTCCATATAGCATGACGTGGGCTTCAGAGTGGACTGTTTGCAACTCCTCCAATGAGGCCTTCCTACCACGGATACACTGAAAACAGAGAGGAAAAAAAAGATACACAACTTCTGATTAGCTTTTCATGCTCCGCATTTAAACTCCCCGCAAAAACAGGATAGGAGAGCAGAGTTCTGCAGAAGTTTTATCATATTGTTAGTCCGAAGAAATAATATACAGGGCGTCCCAGTGTTGTCACTGAGTCAGTTTAATATTAGATCATATTCGAAACCTCAATGTGAGAGTTTTCACCTATAAGGACAAACGTTAAAAGAAGTGCATTAACACTGCCTCCTTCTGGCTACGACAACAACCTGCAATAAAGTGGTAAAACATCATTGTCAGGGGAAAATAACACAAACACTAATATATGAAACAATTTCCAATGACACAACAACAAATGTGCTGTTTTTTTCTGTTTTTTAAATTTGGGCAGGTGTGGTGGGTAGTTTGATTCCTGGCCTGCTCCATAAGTGTTCTTAGATGAGATACTGAACCCGGAATTGTCCCAGTGCACCTGACTATTTTAGAGGGTGTGTGTGCGACAGATAAGTGTATTATGAATGTGAGGGAAAACATATGAGCGTAGCTTCTAGTGTAAAGCGTTTAGCATCAATCAAACAGGAGACGACTGCATAAACGTCAGTGAAGTTAACATTTGCTTTCTCAACGTTTCCAAAGACTGACAACGATTCTTATTGTTTGCCTCTGAAAGCTAAATACTCATGTACATTTTCTAATTGTCCTTCAATAATAACACAAGTCTAACTTTGTCTTTACCTCACAGTGCGCCCTGAGGCCTGTTTCCTGCAGTCGGGACCAGATGCTCTGAATGCGGCCAGCGTGCTCTGGATGACTCGTTGTGCTACCACATATGCACTGGTGCTTCTGCATCAAAGACTCATACACAAGACCTGGGAAATTCACACACCACCACGCACAAACATATGGGTGATTATGCACCACTGACAACAAGGATAGAAACAGCTGTCACGATGACATTTTACGGTCACACCATAAGACGTGGTGTGATTATCATCTATTGCACCTGCTTCTTCTAAAGCAACAGGTTATCATTGTGCAATAAGCAAAAACCCTGTTTAGGATGTTTAAACACTGCACACAGCTACTCACTCTCTGCATTGTGTTTGATTACTGTGGTGCTCATGACAATAAAAAGCATCACTGCTGTGTGTGTGTGTATGTGCAAAGAAATAATTATGTAACTCAGCAGACCTGTAGTGAATCGAGGTTTGGCTGGCGGCTCCTGCACGACCATGGGGAAGGAGGAAGAGGCTGGCGATGACTGAGCTCTCGACAGAGGCCGGTGGCCAGCAAAATTGGCCGAAAGCCCGGCTGCTTCCATCGAGGCTTGGTAATTCCTCAACTGGTGGATCCGCTGCTGCTCTAAGAGCAGAGCCTGCTGCTCACAAACACAGACAGTGCAATATTCAACAGAAAGCTGGGCTGCAATATGAGTTTCCCACCAGAAGATGGCACCAAATACCAACATCTTCCTACTTGCTATAGCGCCCAGTTTAATCAGCTTCCATAAAGAGATTCCTGTTGCAAAGAACCAAACTACATTTGGTTGTTGAAGCAACATTTTCTAGCTGACATAGTGCCAAACATGAGTGTTTCACATTAAGGCGTCATAATTATTTTAAACTGCTTACAGAAAAGAAAAGTTATTATGTAACTATTTATGTAATTGTTTTCAAAATGATCTGTAAGCACCTGAGTGGAATATTTCAGTGCTCGCTAAGCAGTCGTGTTTTCCTGCTCTGATTGGTGTGTCTGTCTACACTATGGGCGCCATGGCGACAGTGAGAGGAGTGTCTGATTGAATTTGGCTGAGCGGACAGCAGGGATGTGGCCAAAGAGAGACTGCGATGTACAAATTCACGTGTAACAGAGAGATTTGTTGCTGCTAACAGCTTTTACATAAAATACTTGCACGTGTATGCCCGCATGAAGTTGTGCTACGGACTAATTTCGAGGATATTTATACACATATTATACTGGAAGCGGGTTGGGTAGTCAGTCCAGTCGGGAGGAAAGGCAGATCAAACAAATGTGGAGTGTAATGTTTCAGTCACAAGAAGCTCCATCTGTCACTGCTATCAGTGTGTTGTTCAGCCCAGCTACAACCACTTACTGATTACTGTAATACAAAAAGAATCCTCCATACTGTGTAATCGCTGCCAGTTTGAATCATCATGCACATATATGAAGACATTATGTCAAACATATGAATCTGACACTGCTTTTAGAGTCATGCAAAAGAAGAAACTTTCTCCCTTTTTATAAATGCCAGATTAAACTTGTGGAATTTGAATTTCATGCCCAGTCCGTCTTTTCCACTCCAACTGGTCCCCGCCATTCGTGCTTACCTGTCTGAACAGGAAGTCCTGCTCAGCCTGCCTCTCTCTTTGCTCCCTCTCTTCTTGCTCCTGGGGATCCGGAGGCTCCTGCTTGATGACCACCCCACGTAGCAACCCCGTCTCTTGCCCAGAGGTAGGAGAGGAGGACGATGATGACGAGGAGAGCGCCTGGTGCTCCCTAAGCTCCTCCTCCGTCTCTTCCGGGTGACTCTGGTGTTGCCTGCCTGGTCCTGAGGCTCCCGGGCCTGCAGCTGAGGCCTGATCGCCGGGCTTGGACATTATCTAGAGGGCAAAAAGACACGGCCAGGTCAAACTTTTGACGCAGTGATTTGACGGTGTTATGCATGTTTTTAGAGGAAAAACTGGAACACTTTGGACATAAAAGAAAATATTCACATAACATTCGGCCAAGATTAGGGAGTCAACTGATGATGTTAGGAGCCAGTAACAGAAAGACGTTCCAGAAAACAGAAAAAAGACAGAACCGAGAGTTTCAAAAGCATGAAGGGAGGAAAGCACTAAGGAAACATCAGGGACAACATGCTCCAATTTAAAACTACACTTTGGATGTTTTTCATTCCAAAAATAACTGACTAATCAGTCCGCGTACAAAGTTAATGAAAACAACCTTAGATAAACCCACCAAAAGCTAACATTAGCCGGGGCTTTTGACTTTTTGCACACACAGAAATAAACCACATCTGTACTCTGGATTCTGATAGGCTAGTTATTTGTTTTCAAACTAATGATATAATCTCCTGAGACTATGGATGAATTTTACTGCTAAGTTCGTCGTGTCTGAACATGTAAGAGAAAAGAAAAAGCGAGGAAAGAGAGTGGAAGCACCGCAGAGGGGGGATTGTAATAATCTTGTTTTGGCAGCTGCCCTCGTCCCTGTCGTCACAGACCTCAACCTTGATGTGCAGGTCATGATTGGACAGGACCACTGTTTGTGCCTGGAACACACACACACGGCTGGCATATTGCCCAGGGAACAGTCCATTGACGTCAGAGAGAGCAGGCTCTTGCCTCATCCCAGTCCCTCTTCTCCAAACAAACTCAAAACACTCCTGCCACACTGACTCTCTTCCTTTCTCTCTCAATTTGTTCTCTTTCCCTCTGTCTAACCCTTCTTCTTTTACAGAGGAAATAGTGGCTGGGACGTGAACCATAAGGGGGACAGACACTAAATAACCCTGTTAAATCAGCTGGAAGAGGGAGAGGAGAGACGGGGTGGTGGAAACACTTGATACACTCGGACTCTGTGCGTTTATTTCTCTCCCCTAAGCACACCGCTGTACCGCCATAGTGGCACACAACAAGCTCAGGTTGGAACCATTTCAAGATCATTCATTTCTTTCTTTCTGCTGCAGAAAAAAGCCAAAAGTTTTCAGGAAGACCCCTTTTTCCTGCTGACTTGACTGATAGATGCAAATAGGGAAGGGAAGGAAGACTGCAGATGAGTCAAGAGGTGGATATCCAAGGGTGAAAAGGGTAAATGAAATAACTCCTGCCAACAGGATATTTCTACATAATAGTTAGCACCACTTTTAAGAGTCAAATGGTAGGCGTTACATGCATCACTGGAAACATATTCGTCCCACGCTGCTAACTTTAGTCGCGTATTTTCCCACGTCAAACAGAAATATAGCAGATATTAAAACCAGCTCGCAGCAATCAATATTTCTTGGGGATAATGTTAAATTCCTCATTAAGTCTGATCTTTATGAGGCAAAAACAAAACAAAGGCAATGAGTAACTACGGAGTCCGCTGGGGGAACTTCTCCAATGACTTCCATGGTGCAATGATATTAGGCAACATTAAAAAGCAGGAAATGAATAGACACCTAAAATAGCACTGTCATAATCCTGCTTTGCGGTTAATGCAGGAGCTATAATTACAGTCACAAATATCAGGATAACAAGTCACACACACGGCAGTCAGACACGGACGGCGGGAGAACAACTACACCATTCAGTAGCTCGAGGTTTTATTCATTAATCTACTTCTGTGCATGACTTTGGTAAAATAATACACAGCACTATAGTAACGCTCAGCGATCATCACACGCCAAAGCATTTTCTTGTTGTGGTCTAAAGCTTAAAGTCTAGCTCTTCAGGTGTTCAGGTGATATTTTGAGTAATGGACTCAGGTTACATTTCTTGCTGAAAAAGGGCAGATCGTTAAAGTTAAAGGTGCCATTACAGCTTTTTAAAGCTACGCAGAATGGCTCCAGTTAACTAAACAACCACCATCCTTTTTCTGTCCTGCGTCTTTTAACAACTTCATGCAGTCACTGAACTCCTGCCTCTTCTGAAAACCTCACTGGACGCCTTTTATTTAATCCTGTGTGATAATTCCACTGCTATATGAAGAGGAAATCATCAGGTAAGGGATTGCTTGAAAGTCTCTCCGAGGCCCGTCATGGACACCACACACACAAATACACAATTGTCATCCCTTCAAGCCACACAGGAGAAAATAGGCTCCGAGTAACCACGCCAACCCAGGGAAATAAAGCAAACTGTACAAAGACCTCAACGTTCCAGCAGCTTTAAATCCAGTATCTGTTTCCCATGAGGCAAGTCGGGAAAGCAGTAAGCTACAATTAGACCCTAATAATAATAAAAATGAACTGACTTAATTGGAAGACTTATGTAGCAGAACTCAACGCAAAATTACACAGAACATTATAGCTCATTATAATTGCCGACAAATAACCTAATGGGATTTACAGAAATTGCCACAAGCTTTGGTGACTTTACACTTGTTCATTTTTATGCATATATGTTGTTCTGGTTGTACCGCAAACTTTGGCTGCTGATTGTTAGTGATTAGTGGGCAGCTCCTCACCTCATCCTCTGTGCAACTCAAACCACTTTAGTTCCAGTCTCCCTCAGCGCCTCCTTCTAATATGCATGCTTTGTCCATCTCTTCCTCTTACTAGTGTATAAATCTTTATGTGGGGAAAAACTCTTTCTGCAGATACATGTTCAAGCCTGATCCCCAACCTGAAATATTGAGGTGACATCCACAACAAGAAAGATTACAGGAGGATGTTTCTGGTAAGTATGACACTCACTGCTTGCTTTTTATGTGATAAAACTATTGATTTAGTATCTTAATCATATATAAACAATGGGGGATTTTTTTTGTAAGTTTGCTCACTTACAAATAAACAAACTGTCTTGTATTTTGTGGCAGTTTCGGTTTAATGGAGAGAGACAGAATAAAAGTCACTCAGTGATCCTCTGCAACCCAGCCAGAATTCTAGATCCCACAGACTAGGGGTTAGGGATACAACCAGTCAATTAAAGATACGCCAGAGCTCATCTTGTTATGTATATAAAGTACACCTGTTTATTCCAACCTCTCCACCATCATGTCAAGACCAAAAAGTTGTCCAAAATTGTCGAATGGACAACAAAAGCATCAGTAAGAAGCTTGGTGAGGAGGTGAAACTGAAGAAAACTAAAATGACCAACAGTCACCCTCAGTCTGGAGCTCCATGCAAGAGCTTGCAAGAGGATGATCATGAGAAAAGGTGGTGAATAAGCCCAAAACTATTAAGACAGTTGGGCCCACAGTCACCAAGAACACCACCACTGGTAATCTTTCAGCAGCTACAAGGTCCCCCTGCTCAAGAAGGCACACACACAGGCTGGTCTTAGGTTTCCCCGTGAACATCTCAGTGACTCAGAAAAGGCCTGGGTGTCGGACGAAACCATGTTTACTGGGAGGAAAATGCTGAGTATGACCCACAGAACACCAACCCCACTGACAAGCAAAGAAACCTAAAGGATTTAAAGTTTCTGTGAAGAGGAGAGGACCAAAATCTCTCCTGAGGGGTGTGCAAACCTGGTGAGCAACTATAAGAAACATCTGTTTCTCTCCATTAAAATAAAACTACCATTAAAATTAGAGACTGTTAATTTCTTTGCACGAGAGCAAATGCACAAATTCAGCAGGGAGTCAAATAACTTTCCCCTATTGTGCAAGGATATAAATATATTTTTTTGGGGGGCTGCTATGCCTTGAGTAGATGAATGCACGTCCATGATAAGCTGACAAAGCCTCAGATTTTCGATCACATTGATTACTTTTACAAATATTTACCTGATTATTTGAACCTTTGGGCACATTTAATGCAGCCATGTGACACAGTATATGAAATTATGAATTTCAGCCACATAAATTATGACTGTATCATAGAGCAACTTCACACATAAGCTTGCACATACGCACACTCTTCAACAATGAAGCAGTGAGTCATATTTCCTGTGTGACCATATATGGAAGATGCTTCCTCTAGTGCACAGTTGCCAGGGTGACAGTGAGAAGCAGGGACACATGAACACAGAAAGAAAAGAAAAAAACTAGCTAAAAGAATTGCTAATTGCAGGCTGAATCATCCAGCGCTTGGAGAAAAGAAAATAGGACTCACAAACATTAACCAAGTCAGTGTCATGTAGATAGACAAACACTCACACACACAGTATATGGACAGACATACAGCTGCCTGCAATACCGCAGCTGTTCAGAGTTACTTTTGATACTGAGCACAGACATGTGTTGAAATACCTTGTTGATGATGTGCTGCTGCTGCTGCTGTTGGAACAGTTGTTTGTGCTTCTCCAGGAACTGCTGGTGCTGCTGCTGGACCACCAGGTGCTGCAGGGCCTGTGTCTGTCCGCACTGCTGCTGGGGCAGAGGCGCCGACTGCGTTCTCCCCAGGGGACGGTGGCTGCGCATGAGCTTGGAGACGGAGGACGATGGCAGCGGTAGGCCACCCAGCCCAACTACAGAAAACACAGAGCGGTTGCAGGAAATGATCTCAAGCATTTTTTTCCAAAAGCTGTGTCTTATTTCTGTAGCTCCACTCATCATTCACACATATTTTAGGTGATAATTTTAGGTGATTTTATTTCATCTACTTAAAAGAAACTGGAGGCTTTACAACTGGAACCACAGGGGCCCCTCTCATATGACGGATGGAAACCGTTACTCAGGAATACCGGCTGCACATTTTAGCTGCAATGCACTGCAGGTCCTGCTTTTTTCTAGCTGAAGTGATATTTTAAAATAAGATGATGTCAGACAAGTTTGCCACATTTGTCTCCACTTATAAATTTCAGTAGCTTGGTTCAAGCAGCCCCTGCAATATAAACAGTAAAATAGATCATGCATTAAATGTACTGTAAGTGACAGAGTTTCACTCCTCAGGCTGAATCACATCTGAGCAATCAAAAGGCCAAAAAAGGATTGATTTTGGCAAAATGTATCCTTTGACAGCTATTTAGGTCTTTATTAGTGTTTTTAAGTCATCTCCATTCATAAACAATGAACAGCAGAAGGAAGAGGAAGTCTTGGCCCTCATATATGCCAGGAAGCTTTCCAAAAAAGATCGGCCTTCATCTTTAGAGGCCAGATTCAGCAGACAATAGCCAATGAGATCACAGATTGCAGCAGTACAGAATGAACTGTGAGGTCATTTTCCGAATCCACGACAAATAATCTCAAACAAAAATCGTATTTATTTTATTCCTTAAAAATCGTTGACGTTTTTTCCTCCAGTGATGCTCTCAAAACTATAAGCTGCCCAAATCATTAGAACCTTGAATTGTGTGTATGTAATCTTTCCAGTAATTATTTTGGCACACTTTGAAACATAATACTGTTATCGCTAAAGCTTAGAGAAGAAACAGCAAAATATTTGGGCTGTAGATTCTTTCGGTGGACCACACAGTATCAATAATTCAGACCTCACCCACTGTTTGAAAGAGAGAAAAATAAAAATCCTGCAAATGTTGCAGTGAAAACTGACCCACTGGACTGTGGCTTGGATCCAGCAGTACCATGTGTTGGAGGAGGGGGTTGTGACCCACCGTGCCCCCTCCTGGGCCCTCCCTGTCCAGTGCTGAAGATGCCAAGTAGGAGGGCAGGTGGGAGGGCAGGAAAGGAGGGGTCAGTGGAATGCCCTGCTGCAATGCAGGCAATGCCAGATGACTCTCGCCATCTTGGTGTCCCGATACCACCTACAAAGACACACAGGCAGGGAGAGGGAGAAAGAGATGTTAAGGTGGGGAAAGAAGGAAAGAATGAAGGCAATGACAAGACTGACGAGTTCAAATCCAGTTACAGGCTCTGTAATATCCTTTGTATTTCTAAGGAAACTAACCAATGAACCTTCTCCACAGTGATGAGAGTAATTACAGTACAACTAATGAACGATTCGCTATAACTAATGTCATATTTCCCTCGGGATGAATAAAGTATTCTGATTTTGATTCTGATATCTAAAAGTTTGATTCTGTGGTATTTTCTTTTAAATGGACTCACAGTGCTAGCAGGTCCTGTGGCTGGCAGGCCCAGGGTGATGTTGGGCAGAGACGGAGAGGTGTAGAGAGAGAGGTGGCTAACTGACCCTTCCCGTGTTGCCAGCCTCTGGAGCAGCGAGGTCTGCAGACATATCCACATTGACATAAATACAGTGCAGATCCAAGAAAACAGTGCTGTGTACAGTGCAAGACTTTTCCATCTCTCTCACACATACAAATGCACACGCAGCCACGGGCACACAGTCATGGATATTAGATTCATTTAAATCTATTTACCATAATATGTAACCACAGCTATGGCATGAATAATCCAAATATAACATTAACCTAAAATCAAAACTTCCCCCGAAAATTAAAATTGACTTGCTTTATGAAGACTTAAATGATGACACTGATTAAACAGATGCGGGTCTCTCTGCAGGTGAAGAATGAAGCCAAAGCTTAACAGCCAAAAACTGCAGTTCCTCAAACTGCCACTTGAGGCTGGCATCAAATGCACGTGAGTCCACAGAGAATAACAGAATAGCAGAAATAAACATGTTTACATCCTGGCACCAACTCTTTTGGTCTTCCTACTTACTTTCCCCATTATGTCAACTGTATGGAGCTTTTTATACCTCACCTAACACCACAGGGTCAGGCTGTGGTCCAGGCTCTTTTACACAGAGTTCGGTCATGAAAGGGTTACAGACCCAAAGAGACAGAAGCAACAGGGTTAACTTCAGAGTGTACCTAACCTAGCTGGCTGAAGGCCACTGATGAATACCTGATGATTTTGGAGCTGAAGAGCCCATGCAAGACTTTTGAAAGTACCCCTCGTGTCTCTTTGGATGTAAAACATGTTTTTTATCCACTCGTGCGGCTCGTTATAAAATGTGAGATCACTTAAAAATTGCAGAATGTTTAAAAAAAATGTCGATGGGATTCCAGGAATCACATTCGGAGACTCCAACTGTCTCAAGATGTGCAGAGTTCACCATTTTTGCACCTGAGAAAGTTTGTGATGCGGGTTATTTGTCCTTGAATTTTCTGTGTAGCCTGTATGACTCACACATTATGACTGTATTATCTAGGACTGATTCCTGGAGTACTATAAATAACACAGTTTTGTGTGATTATGTGTGAATTTAGTTCTCAGTCTCATTGCTGTTATTTATTGAAACAGCAGTGAGACCCTTTTCTAAGAAAGCTGGTTGTCTCTCTGGGCCTTGAACACTTTTGTCCTCTGACGCAGACTCTATCGCCCAGTTAAATGTTCTTAGAGTCATGTGGAAATAAAAGGTGTGGCTGTTTGAAGCGACAGGTTTCTCTGAAGAGTGAAAATCTAGTATCATGTTCTTTTGTTACTTATCACTAATAAGCAGCTATCTGTGCATCTGTATAGTTTACTATTACAAACTGCTAACCACTTTTGGTAGCAGAGGTTGATGTCATGGTTAGGGATGGGTATCGTTTAGGTTTTATCTGATACCAGTACCAAACTGGTACTTTTAAAATGGTGCCGGTGCTTAAATGGTGCTTAAAGAATGGAAAACACACACTTTGTCCAAAAACCTCTCATGTTTAGCTGTTTTTTTGTAAAAAGATAACAATGTTAGCCTTTTCTGCAGCTATGGGGCATATATGGTATCACTCTTGGCTGGAAGCAGTGCTTAAACAATGGAAAAAACACAAACTTTGTCCTAAACCTCTCATGTTTAACTGTTTTCCACTTTTTCTTTGGTCATTTTAGCCTTTTTGGCCAGGGTGGAGGGAGTACCTGCCATCAAACAAGAGGACAGCTGCATGTACCCACGACGGTGTTTGCTAGTTCACCTTACATGCATTAATGTAATAACGTGGTTAGCCTACTCAACGTGAGTTATACACGGACAACATTAAGCTACTCACGCAGAGAAGAACGGCTGCTGCTGCATCATCATCCATCATCATTTCTGCTACACTGGCAGGGCTAGGGGCCAGGACTCTCCTCTTCCGGTTTTTGGGGGATGTTGCTAACTCCGCGTCCGATAACATGCACCACGCCCGCAGTAGATGTGCACGGTGTGAGGTCTCGCAGCAAGCTATCAAATACGGTGCATTTCTCGCCTTTTAACAAAATGCTATGCGTCGCCAGGTGTTTTATCAGATTCTTGGTGTTACCTCCTTTGCACAGTATCACAGTATCAGCTTAAAGCACTTGTTGCAGGCTGCTGAGTTTGCATCTTTTGCTGTGAAGTACAGCAAAACCGCTTTGCCTTGGGCATTTTTAATCTGTAGCTCTGCTCTAAAAGAACGGACGCACCTGGGCCCGCCTACTATCCTTGGAAACGTAAAATGATTGGCTAGAATCTGAAGTGTATCACATCTCAGGAAAAAAGCACCGAAATGTGCGCTGTTTTTCGGTCTGGTTACTACCGTTTATGTCAGAACCGGGATACCGATACCCATCCCTAGTCATGGTGGCCAAGTCCATCTTTCATATACAGTGTATGGATTAAATATACTCACAGGCTGACGCCTCTATTAAAATAAATTAACACTGCAAATCCTGGTGTCCTGCTTCACAAACACACATGTGCATACGCTATAATTAGAGATGCCATGATGTTTACCTCTCCTGGACTGCTGCAGATTGTGATCCCATTCTCTGTGGGGATGTTACTGGAGCCATTGTTGGGGGAACTGGGACCTGAGCCTGGTGCACTGTTACATGCAGACTCTAGAGTACATACAATGAAGAAAAAACTTTCTGCACTGAAATGCATCAAACTGGGTGACTATTTGTGATAGCACCTTAAAACAACAGTGACAGGAGTCCTTACCAGCGACGTCTAGGGGACGCTTCTTAACAGTAGCAAGGGGTCCATCTTTCCTACGGAGCAGAGGGCTGCTGCGACGCTCCGTCACCTTCTGTTTTAGCCGAGAACGAAGCTTTAGGTTGGGCTCAGAGGCTGAAAAGACACAAATGTCCATACATTTCAATCCAGTTTAAACGATTTAGTGTCACTACAACTGTCACCTCAAAGAATTTCATATTGCAATGTAAAGACGCTAAAATGTTACATCCTAAAGTAAATCAGACTTTCTTTGACTTAAACTCATGTCTGTTTGTAATGTCTATAACTGAAATAGCTGAGCTGCGACAGGGCTAGAGGCCTTTAATTTCCAACTAAAACACCATTTCTAAAAATAAAATGTGTTACAGCTCAAGCTCGCCCCATAAATGACTTACAGTTTACACAGTTTCTCTAACCTGGCAGTCTGGCCCTCAGATTTGTGGGTCACACGAGTGGGAGCTCGTTTGTTGGCGTGTAGCGGTGCTAATGAGCTTGTCCCTATAGACCACACTGTATGCACTGGCTGACATATTTGGGAGCTGAGGTTTGCCATCATCATGTGACAGCGGGAAGCGGTGCAACACCAGGGGAAGCAGCCAAATGGTATTTTCCTTGACCCCACGCTTAATGATGCTGCCTTCACGCTCTGCTAATGAACACTGCTTGTTTCCAGACACTTCCAATTTAATACAAACACGAAAAATGAAAAGAAAACTGACAGTGTTTTCAATTAGGTTACTACGCAAATGCTGTGTGTGGTGTGGGAAGGCGCTACATGAGGTGCAGAGGCTTGTCAGAGGCAGGCGTACGGTATATCCGGGATTCCTGTCATGTCACCATCCGCGCTTGACATTTTCTGCGCAGTGCTGCTTTGGTGTCTCTGTTGTAGGCAGTTTACCAAACAAAGGCAGATTTATTCTCTACTCCACTGGCTTCCTTCCGTTCCCTTAGGTAAAGCAGGACGGTTGACCACCAGTTGACCCTATGCTCGTCCCCTGACCTAGTATCAAACAGACCATGTCTCATTCATTAGCCTCAGAGAAGGAGGCGGGGCTTTTTGGTACAGCCAAGTGGAAGCGATTGATTCTTTGTGTAATGTGGAGATTTATTCTGCAGCAGAAGAATTATTCTGGGTCATTACAAACCCTCTGGCCCCTAGAATGCTAATCAAAGTAGGATAATGCACCAAGTTTTAATGTACTTCAAAGAGGTGCTAGCTTTCATTATACCACCTGGTCAGCGGGGATGAGATAAACTATCATGAATCTATAATGTCTAAGTACTTTTTCAAATGCACTCTCAATTTTAAGGGGAACAGTGCTGCAGAACTTATGAAAGTCAATTATTTAAAAAAGACCTTCTTAGTGGAGGGCACTCTTCCAAAGTCTTTGTTAAGAGGGACGGGGAGACTGAGGATAAAATGCTATGCATTAGTTTAACAGGAGGAGACCCTGGGAGAGTGAAGCCTGTGAGAAAAGGAGCGCAGTGCATTAAAGTTATATTTTAGACTATGACATGCTGAACTGTAACAGCCTGACCATTCTTTCAGTGCTGACACGATAATGATAACTGACAAAAAACCCCGATAATAACTGCACGTCAGATTTTCTCTGCTTTAATAATCTCTGATTTAATCAACAAAACAGAACAAAAGTTGGCCTTTGTGTAGTTCTCAGCCATTAAAAAAGGCAATCAGTGTTATCTTTGTATGAATGCCAGCATTCACTGATGAAGTTTGTAGCTGTCATAAAAGAAAGCATTCAACATAACTGGTTTACCTGACTGACTCTGTCTGGTTTAAACACGATTCAATTATTCGTTTAAATACTGGCAAGAGTAAGATAACCGTGTGCTGAGAACCTATGAGAAACTGAGCTGATCCACCTCCATCAAAGGTCTACCTGTGGACTGAGTCACATGCCCCTGCTTGTTTACTGATACATTAGTAATAACTAAGAAAAAGCTAAATAGTCATCAGATGCTAGCCGATGTTTCTGAGCCACTCTGTTGCTCTCAAACTGGAGCGTTTACCTCCCTGCAAGCTTGCTCAAACACGATTGGTCAGTAGGATTTGAACTATAATCAGACTAAAAATAGACCAAAAAGTTTCTGCAATCAAAAATCCCTCTGGTCTGTAGATTGTGTACATGAGCAGCCAGGCGATGGAAACTGAGAAGAAAGAACCACAAAGGTAGTTACAGCAGACACAAGAGATACGCATTCAAGGTTGTTTTTTGTGTGTGAGAGTTATTACGATATGGAGTGCTAAAGGGAGCGGCTAGAGTGCGACCGCTACTGAAGGACAAGCTGGAGATTAGAAGGACGTTAAAGAGACGAGGAAGGAGGGTGAAGCAGGGTGTATGTCTTTGCTGGGCACCATTCACAATGGGAGTGTTCACCTCAGGACACAGTGACTTTGAAGGGTGTTAATGCCGACTGGGCAGAAGCACACCAGTGTGCACACGTGCGAACACACTCGCTGCAGAGGGCCCAGACTGTTCTTTTTTCTGCTGATGATAGCGTTTTATTGCAGCCTTTTGTGCCTCCTTCACCTCCATCCATGCCCTTCTTTCTTTGGCTTAGTCTAAGAGCCCATTTCTCTGGAATTATTTCCTCTCCTGCTCCTTATTGTTGACTCTTCATGGACACACTGCTTGTTACAGTACTGCCTCGATTTTGTTTTTCTTTTTTTCAGATTTAGATAATCTCCCACCAGAGCAGGACATTAGGCAGCATAACTGTGTGGCCTTGTAGGTGTGATAATAGATGGGACCAGAAGGACTTTTATAACCTATATAACACATACTTTAAAAACCAACAGTCCGAGCATGATAAATGTGATATGGCATAACATATTTGAATTTAAGGCACATTTTATATCTTTTATCACCCCCTCAAAACATCCAGATGAAATTCTAGAAACGTCCTACCTGGATGCTTGACCATGCATCAAGACTCCCTGACGTCACGTGGCTATATGAATCGTGCTGATGGTTTCCTGTTCACGGAACAGGACAAAAACTCTGATCCCTTACACTTCAAGTTATCCATTATATCTCAGATTAAACATCTGCATATGTGGTATTTAATATTTTAATAGGGAGGTGACGGGGAAACCGGTTCTCAGATCTAAAACATATTGATCAGATGCTCATTTGTTTTGACAGAGGAGTCCCGGGCTAAAGGAGTCAAGCCGGGGGAAGCCGTGCTGCTGTGCCAAGGAAAGGGAGGGAGGGAGGTTTATGGAAATCAATAGAGCAGTTTGCTGAAACTCATCAACTGAGCTTCCGAGAAACATCATATGTGGATCTACATTAGATAAATGGATTAGATGGACACAGACACAAAGACATAGACAAGCCTTTGTCTCATTTGCATGTGTTCTACAAAAAATAAAAATAAAATAAAGTCAATCAACTTTGATTAAGCAGTTCACTAAAGCCATTTTATGGCATGAAAAGACAGCATTGTGATTAAAAACCATAATTCAAGAAAAGATTTCTTGCGGGCACATTAAATAAATATGAACATAAGACACCAAAGAGCTCGCCAACAGTTTCCCTTTGATTATAAACACTGAGGTTTTCTCAGGGGAGACACAACTGTTAAAACCAGCGACAGCCGAGCCGTATATGAGAAGCGAGAATGAAAGAATGGAGTCATTTTTACAATTCAGCTATTTTACCGCCATTTGTAACATACCAGAGCGACCCATAAGAGCATAGCGCAACCAATTCACATTCCAGCAACATCACGAACAGTCAGTCTGTTGCTTGATTTACCTTTTGTTTAGTTTAATATGTAGAAGTGCTAAGTGTTCATCCTGGGGTTAGATAGGAGCAATAAAGAACGCAGTTAAACTCGAAGCTAGGACGTGACCTTCCTGACTACAGTCACCAGAGACATGCAGCTCATAAAGGAGTGTCAAAATGTAAAGCCGAGCAGGATAAAAGAAGGAAAAAGGAAAGTTCTGAATTGCACGCGGATATCCTGCATGCTTCGACATTAGTGCAAAGTGTGCTATGGGAATGTCAGTGTGTGATCTCGTATGAAAGAGACAGGGAGAAATGGGGTCAGCATGACAAGTCTGCCTCTGTCGTGAAGGCCTTGCAGACTTCCTGCCATAGCGTTCAAAGTGGCCTTCTGTGTTCTGAGAGTCATTACCACAAAGCCCTCCATACTTGGACAATGAGCCCCTTTTGGAATATACTGTGTGCCTGAACTTGCTAGTCAAAAAATAATTTTTAATGCACATTCAGTGAACATAATAGGGCAAAAATGTCATGTGTGACAGCTCCAGCGTCAGCAGAGTGCACGACTGCGGCGACTGCTTTCACTCACTTCCTCCGAACACAGTTCACATATTCACTTCAGCCAGTCCTGCTCACTTCTGACACAACAGTTCCTCAGTAGCCGTATCTGTATGTCTATACGCAATCGAGTTTTCCATCTCTTTCTCTGGTTATATCGCGCAAGCAGAAATACCTTAAAATCCAAAACACTTATCTTAAAGAGGTCTTTGCACGCGCGCTCTGATATATAATTAACTCCTCATTAAGCTTTGTGTCAGTGCTCAGTGGGAAGAATTTTTAAGTTGTGGATATTTCTCAGGGGAAAATTCCTGAATTACATAAAGTGTCCCTGAAAGTTGAAACTCGCAGTGTGAGTTTGTGTGCCAGGAAAAATCATTCCTGCCTCCAATGCGCAGCAGGTGGGCAAGAGTGCAGAGTACACAGAGTTTGGCCTCCAGCTGTGAAAGCAGCCAGTGATACGGCCAAAGCAGCTGCTGACGCTAAGTGAATAATCACAGCTTGGCTGTGCTTAATATGGACAGATGGACAGAATCTGATGCAACCAAAAGGCAGTAAGTTTGTTTTACATTTCCTTCAGCGCTGTTTTGTTGACCGGAGCGATCCATGGTGTCTGTGAAGACGTGTGACCGAATGACTGGGTTAAAATCTTAAAGAATGCAAACAGCCTACAGAGTTTTTCTAAGGAGAAGCTGACCGTAAACAAAAATGTTTCCACTCACATTTACTGTAAGACCTTGAAACCAAGACAAATGTTTTTTCAGAACCATTTCAGGTCTCTTATCTTTGAGTTTGTGCTGGTTGCTTGACAACCTGCCCATTGTTGTCATTTCTACTTTGGCTTTTCATAAAAAAACCAAACCCAAAACAGCAAAATCTAGTGTGTGTCTAGACAGACTCCGCCTCCAGTCCTCACGCAATGCTAAGCTAACGGACTACTAAGCAAACAGAGGGCTCTATTATCTTCAATCTTCCGTGTTATCTTTTTAAACAACAATTTTAAGAGCTCCCGTAATTTTTCATGTGGTTGATAACCGGTAAGACAAAACTTTCACGTTGCTAAATGAGGAAGAAGGAAGATCAGTGCAGCACTGTGGAAGTGTGGAGAATGTCAACAATCAACACAACTTCAGCAAAGCCTTCTGTACCGGTTTTGCGGAGAGGGAAGTCATCTTTGGAGTCGTATGTGCCCAGCATGGGATGGTTGTACGCTGACAGTGCCGTTTGTGGAGGTGAGCTCTGGTCCAAAGAGCTATGCTGAGTTTTTCTGCAAAAAAACAAAAAAAAAAACACAAAATAGACGATTAAAAACACTAAACAGTATCAGTATAACGTGCTACATGAATGCGGAAACTCTGCTCCGCCGGCTTTGTACACACGACACATTCCCAGCTCAATCTATTACTATATGTGACTTTTGATACTTGCATACCCACACACAAGCTTGTGTCTTCTCTCCAAAGTCAGCTAGACATGTCAGAGCGTGGACAATGACGTGGGTGGAAGGAAGAAAGAGGTAAAGCTAGAGGGACAAAGCCTGAAAGCTGAAAACCTTTTTTTTCCATTTTAGGAAAGTAAACGGGCTGAAAATGCACAGAGGCAGAGGTGAAACAGAGAGGGAATACACGCATGAGAGAAGTGAGGAGAATGCCAACAGGTCAAACAAACGGAGAGAACCCTAAAGAAAGGGGAAACCGTGATAAGCGTGATTTATAGCGACTGGCAGCACAGTCCTCCTGATTATTCCATCATCTCCTGCCTTGGCAGAAATGTTTGACTGCTTAAAGCCTCTTCAAATATTTAAAGCACAGGAGAGGTGCCATTGTCTTTTCTCTCTGCCCACTTCAAACATGCGCACACACCTCAAAGAGAGCTAGCTGTCAATCACTGACAACAAACACTGACAGCAAAAAAAGCCTCATCGCTTCAACGTTTTCTCTGCAGCTCGACTCAGAGAGGCTAATGCTGATGTTGGAAATTTGATGTGAACACAAAAGCACATCAATGACAGACGCCTACACAACAGGAGTTCATAACACCACGGGGTTCGCCATGTTTGCAAAGCCAGGATGATGAGAGACTTTCATGTTGCTCATCACTGGTTTTTATGTTTGATATTTTTCCTAGTGTCGATTCTTTTTTTGCTTAGATTTAAAAAAAAAAAAAAAAGCAGCAACCAAACTCTTGTAAATGCATGAGAAATATGACATGCTGATGTTTCATAGCTCTGAATATTAAGGTTATTGAAATACTGATGTGAAAATGTTTTAAAAGAAGTCAACATAAAGCATTTAAAACAAAGTCTTTTCACTTCAATCAATCTACAAAGTCTATATTAAACCACCTGATGTATGAAAGACCAGTCTGATGGTGGCAGCGAGAGCTGTTAATGACATGTTAATCCAAAACGTCGCATCCTGATTTCTATCAGAAGTAGAAAAGTGGACCGCGGTATAACAGAGCCATCAGTGTAGGGCTCAGGGGTTTGTCATTTAATTCCTGACCCGTGTGAAGAAATTGCTCTAAAATTCTTTCATCTTTAAAATGTTTGACTTTAGAAGGAAGAAGGAGGAGGAGGACATCAAAACTCCACACAGATGGACGGTGGTAACCCCGGCACCACGTTCACAATGGTACAGTCACAATAAGGAACACAGTGGTTGGAGATTCATTGCAACCTCCGTGTGCAATGAACTTGAAATGGTTGGTTTGAAGGTGGGGGAAGTCTGTGACTGCTCGCGGGCAGCCACCATCTTCAAACTGACTTTGTGCCAAGACAGCAACAAAACAGCAATAAGATTAATTTAGTCTGCTATCAGTTTTCCACCGAATTGGGTCAAGTTGGCAATTAATGCAATGCATTTGTGGTAAAATGTTTATTCACTGAGATGAACTGGCAAAAACAAACAAACAAAAAAAAAAAAAACATGCAACACTCAGAAATTCACTTTCACTACTTACACTCCGAGTGCAGCCAAACAGATATTCAGGAATTCCTCCACAAATTGTGACGCGGTTGTTGCAGAACGTGTGCAAAAACAATGACACTCACCCATACCAGTAGCGTGGGTCACTGGGCAGACAGTGGTTTAGGTTTCGCTGAGCCAAGGCTTTCTTTTTGTTCAGGACAAACTCCTGAAGTCGCATCTTTACCTCTGTACTGGCGACTGCACCTGCACAGCAACACAGAGACGGGCAGAACAGTAAGCAAGCGAACATTTTTCAGCACAGCCACGTCCTTCCCAACCAAAACACAAAGAACCTTTTGCCCTACGAGAGCTGCTGCCATATTCTCCAGTCTGTGACACTAGGAAGATTATAACTACATCCATCCATACTTTGACAGATAATGGCAATCTGAGTTCTACAATCAGAGTGCACAATCTTGCATTAGAGTGTCACTGAAATCCCACTGAGACCACTGCAGCGCTACGTAACCTGCCTCGAAGACGTGCATCACGAGTTTCACTCCGCTCCTGGTCTCTCCTCAATTACCAACCTCCTCTCACAGCAACAAACAAATTATCAAGGGAGGGAGACAGAGGCAGGTGAGAGGGAAGGAGAGATGAAGAGCGAGGGAAGCCGGGCTTAAAAAACTGGTTTCAGAAAGTAGAGAATAGAGTAGAGGTGTGTTTTCATTAGAATGTGACAGTAGGAGTGATAACAGGTGACGTGTCGAGCCTCAGAGCAGAAGTGGTAAATTCACTGTGTGAAAATGACAACAGCTAATACATGTTCCCTAAATCATGGTGCAGCTGGAAGTGCTGACATCCCAAAATGTCTGCTTTGCCACTGAAGCAAATTGGCTTTTATGAGACTGCCTCAGATGCAATTTAGTGCAGTACTTAACAAAGCTTCCTCTGTTTGCAACCCAATGCTTTTTCCATAGACGTCAAACTGTAGGCTCACTCTGCTCAGCGCAGAATGATTGAGAAAAAGGGCATTACTGGAAAAAAATAATGGCTCTGAAAAGTGGGGGTCCATACACTGTGTGTGTATATATATATATATATATATATATATATATATATATATATATATATATATATATATATATATATATTCTAGTATTATATCAGTACAAATACAGGAATACGTGAGCCATTTCCTCCTCGTTAAACTGTGTTTACGGTCGTATCCAAAACCTCGTTTTGTTCATTTACAGACATGAAAATGCGCACAAACACACAGCAGCATGGATGGATGCATATTTCCTATATTACAAGACTGATTCAAGTATAAGTACAAGTGAAGAAGCAATTTAGTAAAGTGTGGCTCAGAAATGTCATCGAAAGGGCAAGTTTATAAACAAAGCGCCATTCAACAAGGAAATTCAAAGTCAATTACGCAGTGAGTCTTTCATACGAGTACTATTTAGCTGTAACAATTAGAAACACAATTAGCTTGATGCTGCTAAAATAATAAGGAATCACATTTTATTTTAAAGGAGAGTTCGAATATTTTGAGTAGAGGAAACAATAGAGATGATCTTGCTCTGTCCCAGTTGTTATTGGTGAGCACAGAGATTAAATAACTGATGCAATGATGTCTAAAGAAATGATACCAGACCAAGAAATATGTTTAAAGGGAATAAAGAGAGAGAGAGAACATTGCCTGGTTCAGCTTTATTGCTGTCATTTTATTTCACAATCAGTCCGCCTGTAGAAAAACTGACGACACGTCTTTCTGCACGACGTCTCGCCCCTCTAACCCCGTCTTGGCTGTCTTATTATGATATTCCCTGCGGTGAATGTGTGAGGTCAGGCTGTTCTGACTGCTGGGCTGTAACTGCAGGTGCTGTGACAGAGGGGCTGCGAGGGCCAAGCTCCTCTGACACCTGCTGTGATAATATGGCACAGTGTTTCTGCACAGGTACAGCAGATGTTGGCAGCGCACAGCAGAGCAAATATGCGCTCGGTCGAACACGAAGACTTTGTTCATAACACCTTTGATCCCACTGCGGAGTAAATCCAAGCACTGAACTGAGTATTTTGGCCATACGTTACCTTCTTACAGTAACACTGTGCACATTTTTGATGAAGATCTCTTGGTCGCTTTCTTTAAAAATAATTCTCTGTGGCAGTCGCTACTCACTCTCTTGTCCCCTCTCCTTGTTTTTGAGCTGTTGGAGTTTGTGTTCCCGCTGCTGCTTCTCCAGCTGCTCCTCGTGACGTTGTTGCTCCATCTTTCTGTGGTGCTCCAACAGTTCTTGTTGATGCTTGAGCGCCAGTAACTCCTGTTGGTGCTGAGAGAAGGACGAGGAGAGTAAAGAAGAATCAGTATGAGCTGAAAGGACTTAGCCATGGTGATCTGCAGATAAATAAATAACATCACAGAAAGCAAGAAAGACTGAGTCTGAAAAGCAAAGCTAATATAGAATGGCATTATTTTTAATGGCCACAAGGGGGCGACAGCTGTGGTTCCAGTCCTACAGAAGTCTATGGGGAAACGGTTCTCTGTAAACACTCTCCTGATGAATTTATGGGCTCAGTCACTCATTTTTGTTATTTTATTTTATATTGGATTATCCGGAATATACTTGTTGGCAAGCAACCTGTAACGACCTGTGTGTCACTAGCCAGTAAGGATGAGGGTTTCACGGTCACTCTGCTGTCACATCCAGGTTCAAAGCAGGTGGCATCGAGGTAGCTACGCCCGTTAGAGATGCAGTCAGGCCAAAATGACAGTCGTTGTTACCTTTTGGTTTTGTGGTCATGGCAACACAGTCAGGTTTTTTGGGGCGTTTTCAGCTGGGTGATTTGCTGAAAAACGTACCAGCACTAGATCAGATTACACCAGCATACACACTTAAACTCAATTTGTTTCTGTTTGCCCTTCACCAGGCATATTTCTGCTGAGTACAGCTCTACAGTATCCGAGGAAGATTTCCCGCCTCACCCCCATCCAGCTTTCTCACACACACACACACACACACACACACACACACACACACACACACACACACACACACACACAGAAGGGAGGAGAGGAAATTTTCTCCTCTCCATCTTCATCACAACACCTCACCTTGACATGCTCCTGCATCTGGGCTTCATGTTGTCGTGATAGCTGTTCATGTTGCCTCTGAAACTCTGCGATGAGTAGCTGCCTCTGGAGCTGCTGCTTGTGTTTAAGAGCCACCAGCTCCTGCTGCAGGTGCTGCTCCTGCTGGCCTGTGGGAGGTTTTGGAGACGCGATTACTCAGCGCATCTACATCTACGGGCTGGAATGCCGCAAGATAAGCGGAGACTTACTAATGACTGGTCCGCGGCCTGTCTCAGTAGACGTGGAGGTGGGTGGCGTGGGGTGGGGTGGAGGAACCAAGCCAAAGGAGGGCTGCTGCTGGTGGTGGTGAGCGTGGTCCACTATGCGCAGATCCATGGGAAGGATGGCTGTGGCGGTGGAGGGCAGCGCCGCTGTGCTCACGTCCACTGAAACAGCAGGGAACAGTGAGCAGGAAATTTTATTATATGTTCACATTAAATTTGTAATTATTTAAAGATCATCTTAAGTTCATTTAATAGCAGCCAAAACATCATGTCCTCTTTGATCCAAATGAGACAGACGGACACTTGTTACATCAGATGTCCAAACTCTGTGGCCGTGCCAGCTGCACTCTTCATTACACTTCATGGTGTTCGCGGCTGCTTGTAACGTTAGCACTGAGAACTTAAGTCTGTTTTTATAGCTGTACACAACAGATAAGAGCATTAGGGACACAGCGAAAGCATAAAATGTGTCTGAGATTTTGAAAGCCGGAGATCATCAGAGCATCAGTGTAAGCGGCAGAGGGAGAAAACATGTTTATGTAAATCCATACAAACATCAGAGAGCGAAAACACCGCCCATCCCACCCCAACATGAATTTCACAGCAAGGATTTGTGCGTGTCTGCGTTTCGGTTTGTTACCGTGTGTGTGTGTGAGCAGAACTGCTTGTGTCACAGCCGTCACGACTTCAGACGTGACACCGTAAAGAAAAAGGTCGCAGGAATCGACTTTTTAAACCTCACGACAAGGTGTTAAAATATTAGCAGGCAGGAATAAACCGTAAAGACCCATCTGTTGTTGCTTCCTTTATGATTTACTCAGTCTGCATCATTTAATCTGCTTTATATGAATAATCCAGCGAGGTCGCACAGGGCCCCATGGTAAATGAAAGGTAATGCCCTGCTTGTCATGCAACAGCTCAGGGTACGAGTGCAATCAGATTAGTTCTCTACAAGCAAACAACACAGCAGCTTACACACAAAAAGTAGCACACCAGGGAAACGAGAAAAAAAATCAAATTCTGTGCCTTGATCTTTGAATAAAACATGCTGTGATCAAACACCATTAGCACGCTACTCCATTCAATCCAAATTGCAGATTCAGTTTTTGAAATAAACCTTTTATCTATGCAAGTAAATTCTGACTTATACATCAAAACCTCACGTGCACCATTTGGTCTACTCGGATCAATATCTGCTGTGTGGAGAAGCAGCTTGCACCACGCCAAGCCCTCCACCAGCGATCAATAACCTAAAACCAGCGCGAAGGCTCCCCAGCCTATCGTGGATGTTCTGGCATCCCTGGTGGCCAATGAGGTGCCGATGAAGTTGCAGTTACTTGCAGGAAAGGTCCAATGACATCTTTGGTACTGGGCAGGTTTTCAGTGCGGGGAGAAACTTGACACCACCCAATGGGACAGCATGGGAGAGAAGAAGGGTGTGGCTAGGCCAGACTTGCTGGTGCTTCGCTGGTGCACACGTGTGTGTGTTTGGTTGTATCACTGCTCTTGCAGGGACTTGTTTATAGGCTGGACATTAGAAGTTCTGTTAAATCCTTCAGTTGGAAAAGATGAAAAGGACTAGGCTTAGAATTAATTAGGCAAGGGTGGAGGTTTATTTAAAGACTTAAGAGTTTACCATCCAGCTGCGCCACTCTTGCTGCTCTTAAAAAAAACATAACGCCAGGTGAATTTAGCAGCATTTACTGTGACGGGTGAGTCATCTGTGTCTACATGCAGGAGCCTCATTAGAGGACCACAGTGACTGCCATGTTGAGTAAAGAGTCGGTCCCAATCAACCATGTTATCCAAACAAAGCCAGCCGCACTGAACCATGTTCAAATTCAGCCCCCTTCTCGCCTCTCACGCAAACATTTACACAAACATGTCAGCTGTTTACACACATATTTAATAAGCAATAAACATCAAGGTCAAACAAAACAAAACGTTTTGTTTGACAATCAGTGGTGACAAACATGAATGGAGCTGGACCTCAATTAATGCCACCTCAACTGTAAATGTTTCCACATGAACTTAGGTGAGTGGCACAAATGTCCTGTAAACAGGCCTCTGGCACACGCTCTCAAACACTCAAACACACACACACACACACACACACACACACACACACACACACACACACACACACACACACACACACACACACACACACACACACACGATCACTTCACAGCAAAGTACAAATTCAGCTATCCAAACTTTCATGCAACCCTATGGAATCCTTAGATGTTTATTACTAAACAATAAAACAACAAACGCAGCTGTCTCGCATGACCTGAAATGAAATATGGAGCAACTGGTGTTTTCGCAGCACAGATTAGTAAACTAACACATGAAACTTATCAGACACACACGTTTTGCCAACAAGCTGACACTTAGTGCCACGATTCAAACACAGCAGAGCGAGTTTCTCAGCCAAAAACATGCGCCAAAGAACCAAAATAATTTTTACCCAAAAACGGTGCTAAACTTGTGCCACAGCAGTCCCCCTCTCCCCACCTCGGAGCAGCTGGTCCTGAATATACCCTTGTCCCTGTGATGCATATTCCTTTGTGCGGTTTGTGTTGTGCAAACAGTGTTTTAGAAGCACTGGGTTACCTCTGTGCGTCTACATGGGAAGCAATTTTAAAAGCCAAATGCCTTTGTATGTTTTATTATGTTAACACGGCCGGCCACTTACGGAGCTGTGATCAATGGCCAAGTGCAAGGCTAAAGCCAGGCAGCAAAATAAACTAATTACAGCTACTTATCCTCAAACTGAGGGGCTACTAGTGCCGACGGCCAGGAAGAGACAGAGATGGAGAGAAATAGGGAGGCGGTGTAATAATCATCGCTTCGACCAGCTACTCCGAGGCTAACCACACTGGGCTGCCACATTAAGACTGCACTGAGAGCTATTGCTGGCTACAGATTGTGTTGTTAGCTACACAAAGAGACACAGGAAGATAAATAAGGATCATGTACCAACACAGTCTATACCCAAACTGCACAGACTCGGAGAAGTCGTTCCAGTGCCCAGAGAGAATGTTTTTGCTCCTATGGTTTCATCCTCTTGGATAAATGCATCTCACATGAGAGAAGATGCACTTAAGACTGTAATGCTGTCGGGATTGTGTATCTTTAGGGGCTGAAACTATTTTCTTTAATTATCCAGACACAATTATGCTTTGGATCATTAAAAAGAGGGAGCTCCAAACTTTTGACAGCCAAGGAAACATATTTGCATCACTAACAGTTCACAGTCAAGCTGACACGGCTCTCAAGGATCGCAGTACTGTTACAGTTGCACCGTGACAAAAACACCAGCAGCTCTCCTAATAACAAACCTCAGAGGCATGTTTATAGTAAACAAAGCCTTGTCAATGGCGGCAGACAAACAGGGCGACATACAGCCCTGGGAGAAGCCACCTGTGAAGTAATTAGCCCAGCTTACACTGATCGCACTCTGTGAATATGGCATTGGCTTACGGGGAGGAGAGGTGCTTTCATAACAGCTGACTCACCCCGACAACAACGGACGTGATAATGCAAAGATTCTCGCTGCAGATTTGGATGAGCAATTCAGAATGAATGCTAACAGATGCTTCCTGAAATAAACGAATAAAAATACTAGCGCTATTATTACGCACTGATTTCTATCTCGAGTATATGTGCACGTGTGGAGACTACTGCTGCGGTTCTTGCAACCTTGTTGCACAAAACACTGCAAATTGTAATAAATAAAAAAAAGTCTTTTTTCGAATAATTCACAAATGAAGTTGGCGCTAAATGTCCTTAAGCCCCAGGACGTCTCTTTAAAACTATAAAAGGCAAACGTAAGATAAACTCTGGACAGGAAATTGTGTTTACTTTGTAGAAATCGTTCAGGATCGAGAGAGTTCATGACTACGGCCTGACTGAAAGCAACGAAACCCAACATAAACAAAACTCTTGAAATGCCAGGCTCTGCCTCCTCTTCTCTCTCTCTTATCTCCTCATTCATCACTGTGTCCCTCGATGTACCCCTCCCTCCTTCCGCTCATCATCACCCCCCCAATCAGGCTAAGATTATGGATCACACAGAGTTATTTATAGACGAGGACTCCCAGAGGAGTTCCTCGCCCCACTGGGCTCCTGTGCACTCCCATGTATGTTTACTCACAGCTTATGAGAAACTAAGAGTGCAAACTCATTCACAGTTCCAACAGAATGAGCAAATGTCAACACAAGCCTCACAAATTTAGAATGAACAGCAATCGCTGACATAATGTCAACCGGCTGCGAGCCCAGCAGACTCAGGTGCTCACAGAGGAGGGAGGCAAACACCATGGTGACTGCTGGGACTGTGGCCAGTGGTTGGTCGGACAGTGGAGAAGGGGTGGGGCTTGAGGTGGAGGGTGAACCAATGACGGTAGGCAAGCGATTCAACAAACGATCTGCATGTGCATTTAGCTCAGTGCTTTACTGTCAAGTCCGGGGTGGGTGGGTGTGACTGTTGATGTATGCCTCGCTGCATGTCCCAGTAGCATGGTAACATGGCCACCAAAAACCTGTGGGTTTTTTCTGCTTCCTCCTTTCTCTGGCGATATTTCCCCAGATTAACTTATAAAAAAACAAAATGCATTTAGTACTAAAGTGTTCTCGTTAGGAGATAAAGAGATACAAAAAGTGTATACTAGCACTTTTCAAGGAGATTATCTAGCTGTGTCACAGTGCTGTGATTTTAAATGTCAAAGCTGGAGTAAACTGAGATAAATTAAAGACCCCACATGTGATCCAAGGCAGGCAGCAGCAGAGTCAAATGGTGATACGGGATGCAATCTAACATTCAGTCATTTCTGTTTATATGTCGAGCAGTAGTCCCAGTGAGCTTACACACTAACTTCCATGCATTTTGCTCCACACATGAACACTTATGTGCACAATAGGCTGTGCGGAAGGACAGACGCAGCCACTGCCATCTGCTCCATTCAGTTAAAGGCTGCGCTGAGCGAGCCTCCATACATCAGTGCCATTCAATAAACACTGCCACTACTCCAAGCCGCACACCCACACACACAGCAAATGAACATGCACACACACGAACATGCACTCACTCCCTAAGTGAACATATATACGTAACACAGCAACACATCCACAGGCAAAACAAGAGTCTGCATAAACAGATGCACGCCTGTTGATCACTTAATGTACAATCAAGCACACTGCACTGAATAAACTCTGTGAAAGAAGACTCCAACAACACATCCTTTACACAAAGGAAAACCACAACAAACCTACAAGCCGGCCGAGCACAGCTACACGAGGATAACATAAAGCACTTCACTACATGCGGTTTGAACAGTAATTCTCTGCATAACAGGAATAGCTCTTACCCATCAGTTATGCCGTGCTGCGCTGTTCTTGCACGTTTGAGAGTGGCGTACAGTATCTGAGCGAGAGAGAGACAGAAAGTGCGTTTGTAGCCAAAAGTGCGAGTGAGAAGAGATGGCGTTCAAGTCCACTGCAGCACACAGACACAGCAGACCGGCCTGGGTTAGGTCCTAACAACAAATCTTTCTCCCTCTCGATCTTTCACACAGTCCGTCTCTCACTCTGTCGCCTCTCTCTGCTCCTCTCACTGACGTGTTTTGCTCTGCCCTCCAGCTGCCACTCTCCCTCCCTCCGTCTGCTCCTCCGGTCCCCTCCCACTCACTCTCTCTCCCACTCTCTCTCCCTCGGCTCTCAGTGACATCAGGGGGCAGTCTCGGGCATGTTGAGCATTTTATTACAGTCACTCTCCCTCTTCTAACACACTGGCAAACACTCTGTCTACATTCCTATTTCCCTACACCACCTATGCTTTCGTGCACTAAATCTGCATTTTTGGACTAAACAGAGCCAAGTTGTACTTACCCACGCTTACACATTTATTAACAGACACACACACACTTTATGTAAAATCCTCCTACACACCAGGAACCTTTGAGCATAGACAGTCGCTTTCTGTGAAGCTGGTTTGACAGTAGCAATACATTACAACCACTGAAGACACACATACGTCACAGACATTGTCTCTGTTCACTACAAACACGCACATAGAAACAAAACGAGCTGTTTACTGGTGGAGACTGATACCCCAGAAACTTTATGATGTTAGTAACTTTGTTCTGGAAACTCTTTCTGTTTTTAAAAAGAAAAGTACCTTTTATTCCAGTGAATCATCGCCACCTAAATATGCAAATAATGGATTATTATTACACAAGACGGAAAGAGGTTCATCTGTTTAAGGAGTTCTACTGAAGCAGTTAAATAAGTAAATCTTAGCAAGAATGCATGACTAGTAAACAGGAGAGACGCTGAATCACAGGCCTGAAACCTTATTTGTAGATTAGTGATGAGTTTGGGATTGAATGATAACGGGGAGCGTTTAGGGGACGGCTGAAGGACTGGCCTACTGAGTGGAATCAGTCCACTTAAGACAAGTGCTCCTCTGGGGGCAACACCTGACGTGCCTTTTGGTTCTTTCAATGAAGGTTCAGTCGATATGTGTTAAAAGAAACAGGCAGGATGGACCTGACTGTTTGCCCCAAGTGGGTTAGTTGTCCTCTGCGCTCTAACACTCTGCTTTCCAACTCCCCTTGAATTACACTGGAGTAAAGGCAGGGTGCCAGTTGTGAACTGGAATCAGACACCTGCCTTTCACCGACAGGGTGCCAGTTCAGAGCCCGGGTGGAGCCAGTTACGCTTTAATTTCTTTAAATAAATACAAGTTTTGACAAGTTCAAAAATCAAACTGGACCAAGCGCTGCACAGAGGAATCATGGTGAACAGAATCTGTGGGCTGAGTCACAGGTCGATTTCTTGAGACGGCCCCTCCCATATACGCAGGTATGTGGTGCAACTTTGGGCCAAGCAACTTTATGATGGTGTGATGGCGTCGGCTTTCTTCGGCTCTCACGCCAGTGTTTGTTTTTTGTTTGTTTTTTTCAGTTGAAATTCGCGGGACTGCATTTAGAAAAACATGAGTGATATACTGCCACTGTGGAGAATGTTCAATTTTTCACTTTTATGAGTAACCCCGTTTGCAAGGCAGTTGAAAACAATTGTCTTCATTTTGATTCTGATGGGAAACAGATGGTTTTCTGATCCACTGCATATGGAGTTAAACAACACTGAAGGGTTAGGACTGCTCAGTCCAACTGAGATATGTCCAGTGCTTGCAACATACACATCCAAGGTCAGAGATGTCCTTTGCAGTTTTTATGTCTGAAAAAAATAAATCAAAAAATAACAAAGAATTATTTTCTTTAACGGCCGTCTAGCCTGGCAGCTTTTGCAATCATCATGATCTTGCTTTTCCAAGACGGGCTCTGTAAACTCTTTAAAGGTTCCTTGCGTGTTTTTCTTCTTCTTTTCTTTTCTTTATCTATTTATTCATTTCTATTATTATTCACATTAGTGCATATGGAATATGGCAATGCCCAAGCTGACAAGGAGAAGAAAAAGAAAAAGAGAAAAGATAAGAATAAACGGACAGAGCAGAAGCGGGGGGGAAAAGGAATTACACTGATAGGTTTGAAACTAAAGAGATCATGGAAGCACACAGGATACCAGCATGCAGCATACTGTCCTATTTTTGCATATGTTCCCATGAATGTGCATGTACATACACGTGTGGATGTATGCGTGTGTAGCATGGTCTGTTCCTGTGTGTGCGTGTTTGCAGAAGCTATTTTTGAAGTTCAGTGTAGAATCCAGGAAGCCAATTTTGTTTGATCAGACAACCCACCTACACACCTGGCTGCGATAAAGGCCTGCCTTATCAGCTTGTTGTATAGTGTTGACGTCAAAGGCTTAGCTAAGCATCATGCAGCCATGACACTGATAACACCTAACGCTACTGATCCCAAACCGCAATGGCATACACGCACGCAAACAAACACCGTGTCATTTTTAGAACAGGGAGAATCTCCCTCGTACAGGCCGCTGACACATCGCGGCGAAATCAGCGTGCAGAGAAAAGCTGGGAGGGAAAGACGACGGTCAAAGAGCAGCAGCAACGATCTGACAACTTAACAAATGAAAATGAACAGCGGGGTGCGTGTAGTCGGCTTTGGAAAATGTTTGTTGGTCAACACCGCATACAAAAAGGACGACTTGTTTTCAGACCACTCATGCATTATTGGGCTTGTTTGGATGGACAACATAAGAAAGAAGCAATTAAAGCAAATTTGTTTTGTAATTAACAAAAGTCTTGAAATAAAGGAGCATGCTGCAGTGCCATATACAGCTCTTCACAAAGAGTTTCAACACAAACAGAACTTCTCTTGCTCCACACGGAGTTGTTCAAACCATGTTGTGGTGCCACAGCAGATGTTGTTTCCTGTTGTTAATATGTGTCTTATTGGGACTTTTGTCTGCTTCCTTAGTCACAAGGGATCACCACAGCAGATGGATCCACATATTTTATTTGGAAATATTTTACGTCAGCTGCCCTTCCCGCAGTCTCCCTCCTGAGCATTTGTGCCTCCTCCCCTCAGACTGCAGCTTTTTTGCATATTAAGCAAATGTAATAACAACTACATATGGGACTTCCACGTAAGACGCGCTGCCAAAATCACGGATGTCTGACAATAGCCAGCCAGCAACAATCAGGTCAAATACACAACAGGTTTGCATGCAGATACAGTAAGTGTTGCTTCTACCGAACTGCATCCTTGGGACTGCTGGATGTGACGAGTGCTCATCAAGTAAAACCAACTCGTATTAGTCAAAGCCCAGAACCTTCATACAAGTTAGGCAATGAATTCCTGTGAAACTGGGCTTTTGCAGTTATTTAGAAGCCTTAGAGAGAAACAGACGAGGCAATAAGTGAGTGATTCACAGATAAATAACTATCTGCATCATAGTCAGTGTGCACATGTGTCTTAAATAATGCATGTGGCATAATGATCGCAAGGCATGCTGAAATACACAGTGTGGCAAGCAGGCAGACAGAACTGATGAATAAGTAATGGACGGTGTCCGACTCATAATGTACACACGAGAGCTGCTCACACACACACACTAAACAATAAACGAACCTGTTCAAGCTCAGGAAGAAGAAAAGACACCAAGTCGTATTTTTGTACCTTGGTATGCTCTCGTCTTCCCTCCTCCTCTTCATAGTGATGGGGGGCTTTGCTTTTTTCATCCATCTCCCCAGAGAACTCCAGACCCAACTTAAAATACTATGTCGTTTATTATTGATTTGAGTTATTTATAATACACACGCATTCTCTCTGTAATCCCCCTTTACCTTCCCTTCTCTCCCCTTTAGTGTTCCCATTTAATGGCACACTGGGAAAATCTCAAAATTGAGGCACTAAATCTGAAACTTATAATAACAATACAATAATATATAATAACTAAAATTAGTATTACGAAGTATTTCAAAATAATATCAACACAGATTTAGTTAACGCCATGAAAGTCAAGAAAGGGGGCATCTTAGGTTTCCACCTGCTACAACAGGGTAACACCCAGTCTGATCCCAAATCCCCGGTCAGATTATTCTCTGGTCTCTAAGAGGACCCAGATAAACTATAAATAAACTAAAAGACAAAGTGCACTTGGCTAAAAGAAGCCTCCAAAAGTAAAATGGGGGAAGAAGCAGGTGAATTGAAGGGGGATGCAGATGGGTTGTAAGCCAGTCCCTCTGCAGAGCCCAGAACGTACTAGATATCAAAAGGGCCACTAGGATGGCAACAGAGGCAGCAGAATTTACAAGGTGGCAAAATATAGTGTGTATATATATTTTGTTGATATACTGGAGTGAACTGAATGTTGTCAGAAGTGACTGAGGTTTAAAAATGTTTACAGCGATTGATATCAGCTTCTTTTTACTGTCTATTGAACAGCATGTGGATACACATAAAAGCAAAAGTGACAGAAATCAATACCATCGCTATAAACCTGTGTGGTGCTGCCTTTCTTTGCATACACAAACACACAAATACACGTAAATATACACACATACGCTGACTGGACAAATCACAAGGAAGCAGCATCAGTTTTCTAAAACGTCTCGAGCTGCTGTCTCGCTGTTTCTAAGTATGGTTGTAAGATCCACTATGAATACATATACACAGTGAAATGATTTGTCATCCAGCAGAGATGTAACTTAAACGCTTCTAGCTGTGTTAGGCTGCTAACACAAACCTTATAGAGCTAAATAATTTATATGAGTGGGAGGCCTACAGAGATAAAATTATCCAGCCATATTGTAAAAGACACTCTGAGAAGAGCTGAAAGTGCAATGAAAGTTATTATTCAAAAATAAAATTATTGCATCCACAGATATTTCTTCTTCGGGCGATCGTGGCTCAAGAGTTGGGCGTTCGTCTTGTAATCGGAAGGTTGCCGGTTCGAGCCCCGGCTCGGACAGTCTTGGTTGTTGTGTCCTCGGGTAAGACACTTCACCCGTTGCCTACTGGTGGTGGTCAGAGGGCCCAGTGGCGCCAGTGTCCGGCAGCCTCGCCTCTGTCAGTGCGCCCCAATGCGGCTGTGGCTACAATGTAGCTGGCATCACCAGTGTGTGAATGTGTGTGTGGATGGGTGGATGATTGTGTATAGTGTACAGACCATTTACCATTTACTTGGTTTGTATCCAGAAGAACGATAATGATGAATCTCAGCTTTTCACTGTTTAAAGCTAAAAGCATTGTTTTTGGAAAAAGCTTGGGCCAAATGATGCCCACTGTACAGCCTGGATATGTGTGTGTGTGTGTGTGTGTGTGTGTGTGTGTGTGTGTGTGTGTGTGTGTGTGTGTGTGTGTGTGTGTGTGTGTGTGTGTGTGTGTGTGTGTGTGTGTGGTAAAGCTCCACAGAAATATAAATTCTGGCAGTTCTGAAGAACTGAAAACATCAAGGCTTAAAAACACCTTAAAAACGCAGCAAAGATAACAGAAAGAGAGGCTTCGAGCTGCCAGCTGCAGCGAGGAACTCCGTTCATTCATATTTTATACCGTCTCGCTCCATCTCAATTGTAATGCCTTCGCTGAGCTCACAGCAGACAGAGACCCATTAGCTTTCAG